TTTAATAATTACACACTACCCATCAGTTATACACATATACCACCATCACATGTACATAAAAATACATTTCATTCCAAGGCCTAAGCCACTGAGTGTTGATGAAGAATACTGTGGTCATACTCCTCTGGTGGCACCTCTGAGGGGGAGAGATGTTTTCAGATCAGTTTGTCCTCAGAAAATGACATCTCATGGCAGGAAGACATCTTAAATACTAGTCCATCCCTCATTCCATTTGATGCTTGGCTCCCTTTGACAATCTCAGTTAGATATCATTTGGAAAAGAACTTAATGTTCTTCTTGATTGTCATTCAGTAAGATAGGATGAACACATGTGCCTTTACTCTAGACTGAATGCAGCTTCTATTGTGCCAACAAAGCTGCTCTTTACAGCAATCTCACAATCTCCATGTTGAATCCAGTTGTGCCAAGTAGATTCCCATGTTATTTGACTTAATTGTTAGCTTTGCTGGCCTTCTTCATAATTGCCACTTAACTTCAGGATTCTGTTTTGGAGCCTCCTTATTTTAAGCAGCTTTGGGGATCTCCTTTGCCCCCATAGCTGTAATATCCAGCTATATGCTGAACTATAGTACCTGTCCAGGTGTATCTTGAGCTACCAACCTCTGCATTCAAATGCTACTGAAAATTTTTACATGGAATCTCAAGCTTATCAGATTCTCTTCTTTCACTTTCTTTTTGTAGTATAATGAAATTTTCCATGACCTATCTACTGTAATTCACTTTTATGTAAAACCATCAGTATGAGTGCATCAGTCTCCCACATTCTTGTCCCAAAGATTTCCAGTCTTGATGGCTACTTCGTAAGTGTTTCATGGACCCTTTCTTCTCCTGCTTTCTTTGGGAATGCCATTTTCCTCATATTGTGTCTCTCATTTGGTTTCCTGTAGTCCCATGATTTTTTTTTTCTGTCTTCAATCTTGTCATCTGTTAATCCATTTTCCAATTCTCAAAAAGTTTGATCTAAATTCAAATGCTTCTTCATTACATCCACCATCAAGACATCACTCCAGTGGCTATCCAAAGACTGTGAAATTCTTATTCCTCTAACACTATGCCAACCATACATACACCTGTAGATCATGACTTAAATGCATCCAGAAACCCCTAATGCCACTTCCAGCAGCTGGCCACCAACCTGAAAATCTAAATAAGATGTTTCACCTATGTACTTCTATGGCACATTCTAAAACATGTGGAGAGGAAAAATTGTTTCAAAGAACTAAAAATACTGAAAATTGAAACTTTATAAATGTTCTAATATAAAGATGATGTGTAAATTTAAATTTGCCATAGACTTGCATGCATATGTAAATTGAAGTTTTCTAAGCGGTTTTTGTTTCCATTTTGTTGGGCAAATCTCAATTTCTCTCAGTTGTGGTAAGAATGAATCAATGTTTCTATTTTCTTCATTTTATGTTCCTATTTCAAAGGTTACATATTTAATATAGACATATTTTTATTATTCAAAATAATAATTTTAAGAACAAGTTTTATAATTCTGGATGATTCTTGACATTCACTTTTTCCATCCTGTTTATGAGATAGGTTTGATAAGTACCTCAACATATTATTAAGTTGTATATGCGTTATCATATATAAGCACTAACTTCTCTTAAAGTTGACAGTAAATCACATGACAGGATTCTCATTACTTTTAAATATTTTAACATTACAAACAAATAAATTTAAGTTAGAATACAAATATTTGTTGTCTAAATGCGGGTTAAAAAATTATCTGAGATATTGAAGAGAAGTCTAAACATAATTATGTTTATTTAAGAATTAATATTTTTTAACATTTATAATTTATTAATATTTAAATTTTCACATATATTCTTAATAAACTATTAATTATTTGCATAATAATTCTTTAAGAGTAATTTGCCTTTTTCAAAGCATAAAAAAGCCTTGACTATTGAGATATTTTGTAATAATCATTTCAAATACTCAAATTACAACTGCATGAATGGTCTTAAAATCTGTCCAAATCTTGAGATAAATAAATTAAAAAAATAAAAATTCTACCAATAAATTTATATATATTACACACAAAATAATAGAGAAATTCAATTGCAGGCAGTTAAAGATAAATCATGTAACTTAAATGTTATCATTATTGAAAATGTACTATTTATTTACTGATTAAAAATACAATTGACAGTATGCACTGAGAAGTTATGTAAATCACTGATGCAATTCTGACTTAATAATTATAACACACAATTCTAAAGTTGACACATTTGACATATTCTGAAAATTGGATTGTTATAGGAATTACTTTTGTCATTAAATAAAAATTCTTTCCCAATAATAAAAACAAAGTCTACTCCAACACTAATGAAACACTCCCAAATCTGTGTAAGAAGTATATTCTTTAATTTTTTTATTTTTATTTTTTTTATTCTTTTAATTTTCAAAAGGTCTAATGGAATTTAGGTCATTCCTGTATGACAGGTTGTGATTGATTTAGGTCATCTTCTCAAATGAAAATTAGCACCTCTTTCATAGACAATTAGGTTATGCTCAATCTTATAGACAACTGTTTTTGTAGAGAGACGGATATGTGGTAGAACAAGGTATCAGTGTTTAAAATGGTAGATGACTTGGTACCATTGTGAAGGAGCTTCCATTTCCTCTGTCCTGACTCTGCAGTCATAAATCTTCAAATGATAAAAACTGGTGAGTTAAAATTGTAACATATTATGCAAAAGAGAATGTTCTCTCCCTAATATTGTCAACAAGAATGTTATCACTGGGAACCAATAATCCACCAAAGAGATGGTTTGGAGACAAAGTGGAATTGGCACCTGAAGCATATTTCCTAATCTTAACTTTCTATTTGTGAAACTAGAGCTTAAGTGTGTGCAAGGATATGGAGACTTCTATATGGGAGAGCAGTTCTCTGAACACCAAGCTTTGTATACCAGGATTGAATTTGCTTTGTTGGAAGTAAAGTCTTTAGAAATGCCATTCTTCTGGGCTGGGGTTGTGGCTCAGTGGTAGAGTGCTCACCTACCAAGTGTGAAGCCCTGGGCTCAATCCTCAGCACCACATAAAAATAAGTAAATAAAATAAAGGTATTGTGTCCAACTATAACTAAAAAAATAAATATTAAAAAAAAGAAATGCCACCCTTCAAAATAGCATAGCATTGTTTGTTATATTGGGTGTTTGGACTGATTCTCCTTCTAAAGTTTCCTTGTAATTCAAATCTAACAAAAGAGTGGGAGTGGATGCTAAAGAGAGCTTGTTGCAACATTTCTCTCAGAGCAAAAGGGATCATTGGAATCCTGCCAACACCAAAAGTTGATCTAACCTAAAAATAACACATGAATAGTTGCCATGTCTGTAATGTGAGCAAACATTGGTGAATAGAATATTAAGCTCAGTCCTTCCTCCCTCCCTTGCTCTCCTCTCCTCTTCACTTCTCTTTTCTTTTCCCTTACCTTCCCTCCCTTTTATTCAATGAATACTAGATAGGAAAATACTATGGTTAGGCTTTCAATATGACCCCAAAGACTGGAAATAGCTACTGGCTCATTGTTTCATTGGTTATGTTGGCAAATAATTATGAGTGAAAGTTTGTTACTAAATGGATTGAATTGTGAGTTACCTGGTTATATAATTCTAGATAGTGAATATTATCATTGGAAAATAACTCATGTAACAAGTGCACTAGGACTTTGGATTTCTGTAATCACAGAATAATTCTGTGATATTTCCCATGCATTTGCAGTTCGGTATGATTCAGATTGGTTTTATCCATATTTAGTGAAAATTTACTTTCAGCATTAATGGATGAAACTAGGGTTTCTTCCTGTCATTCCTATTTATATTTTCTTAATTTTCTAATCAGAAATATCTCAATTTTAGTTCTTTTTCTCATCTCCCCACTTCTTTTATAGTTTTCCCAATCTTTCCATCTTCCCATATTTATGCCGTTTTCTTTCACCTAACCTTTGAACTGAATTAATTTCAGTAATTGTGTAATATTTTAGTTTTGATTGATTGAATATTTGAAAATGTATAATTTGCTATTCAAAGAAATTAATACATGTTAAACAGAAAAATTAGAAAACATTAATTTATAGAATTCCAGAAATCACATGTAAGTTTAAAAATAAAAAATTTGGCATATTTCCCTATTCTTTCATAAATAAATAGATTTGTTCATTCAAAAACCACAGGCAAATTTAAAGGCCTTGCATATGCACTGCTAATTTACCCTGAAGAAAATTGTTCCCAAGTGCACATACATATCAATTGTGCAGGTACTTATTTCACTACTACTTGGTCACTTTTCTCCTCTTTTTAAAGTAAATTTGAACTGTGGAAAATATTACTTCTGTACCTTAAATTGTGTTTCTTTTGTTATCATCATAAAGTTGAAGACATGTTGACATTTTCATAAGTATAGGTCATTTGTATACCTATTTGTGAATTTTGTTTTGTTTTTCTTTACCCACACTTTTTTTTTGCTTTGGTTACATTTTATTTATTTTTAAAAAAGAATCTGTGTGTATCTAGAATTTTTGTATTTTCTTTTTTCCTCTTGGAATCTTGTCTCTCCTGATAACCTTTTTCTGACTTTGTCTTTCTCCTTCATTTTCTTCATCTAAAAGTTTTTTAAAAATTTCCTTTAAGCATCTTTAGCCATTGTTCTCCATCCTTCTGAATCCAAATGCTTTGAAAAACCCAGAAATTTAATTGGAAGGTAGCAAAGGAAAGATGTTTTAAGACCATTTTCCCCACTTCTATCTCTTGCTACTATTTTGTAGCTTGGTTTATTATCTAAGTCTGCATATTGTATTTCCGCATGCACTTGTATTTGCGCCCACAACATGTCTATGACACACATGTGTAGTGGGCGTGTCATACACATTATAATGGACTAGAGAGTTGATATACTCAGGTGAATTTGTGTTTCAGGATGATTCACGTATTTATTTATTCTTTTTTTTCCATCTCCCATTAATATAGAAGGACTGAACATCACAGAAATTTCCAGTGTTCTGCCTCCAACTAGCCCCTTACTGACTTCCACCACTATCCCCTCACTCGCAAGCATCTCTGAAAGAGAAAATGACTCATCAGAGACCACATCTTCTCCTAGTCCAGGTGATCCTTCAGCCAAGTCTCCCTGGATCCTTTGGATGATGCTAATGTTTTTGCTATGACAGGTTGACATAAAAATGTTCATAACTGAAATATATTAGGAAAACCTTATCTGTTTAAAAATATTCTAAAGTGATCAAACAGCTTTTCTTTGTGTGTGCAGTTTCTAAGGATGTATTTTATTCAAGTGCATAAAGTGTGGGAAATATTAAGTGTCTATAAAATGTTGATTGATAATGTCATGCATATGTGCCATTAGGAAGAGGTAAAGGGAAGGAGGAAAGTCCCTAAGTAAAATCAGGAGGGGAAAGTTTTTCCAGTGTCCTCCATCTCCACATTCAGCATCATTCTCTCCACTCCCTCAGGTTTTCTGCAGCCCAGGACACATTGGAACTCCTTATCAGAGCTAAAGTAGAATCTTCCCACTCCTTTGTTCCATTCCATGTTCATATCATCAGAAAATTATTGAACATAGACAATTTATTTTTAAAAATTTACTCTGAGGATTGTTACCTCAGTTTTGTTATGTGGGTTTCTCCCAAAGATATTTGCATTATTTAAAATTTATTTTAATTAACCCAAGTTGTAAGACCTGACAGTGTAATTTAAGGCAAAATATCATAGCAAAATATCAGATTGATGTGAGAAGTACTTTTGCTCCTTAGAACATTCACATATCAATGATTCCAGCTCACTTGATGGTAAATATTAAGTCTGCTAGTGTATTCAGTACATAAGTCTACCAACAGGACAGTTGCCCATGTATTTCTGAAACAATGTGCTAGATGTCATTTTCTTAAGCATACTGGTTTGTAGACATAATCTGATAAGAGACGAAGCTATGTGACTGCTTAGTAATAATGCCATTTATCTTAATTTGTGAAACAATATAACACAGTCACAGAAACATTATTTAGAGTATGTTGCAATGTTTTGAGTACAAATACTGATGAAATATATTAATAAGTCATTAAATAAACGGATAATGTCTTCTTCAGAAATTACTGGCTGATATTTAATCTTTTCCTCCTGCCACCAATAGCAGAGAGGTGGCTAGAACCTATTGAAACATCTGAACTCATTGCCTGATGTTTCTACAAAAGCAATGTAAGGATGGAGTTGCTGATGCTAGGTGGAATATTTCATTCTAAGTTGTTACTTTGAGCCATGGCACAGAGTGTCTGCCATATTAAAGGTTCCATGTTTCACTTCACATACACACTAAAAGTCATACATTTGAGACATTTCTGACTCTTTATTCCCACTTACTATCTTTTTTACCTGAACAAAGTACAGTCATAGATTTTCAGAGAGAGCATATGAGAAAAAAGGTTTAAAATTGAAATAATTGGAAACAAGGATACATAATCTTAAAATACTAATTTATTTTGGCAGTATTAATTTGATGGCAAATTTTGCTTGGAAAAGTGTCTTCTGCTTTCTAATAAAAGGACACATTTTATTATATAGAAAACAAACTTGCCATTGGGTGATATTTCAGTTATCTACAACAAATTCTATATACACTATTTGATTTATGATTATGATTGATTTTATATTTTAGAATGCAGACTATTTTTTCTTGCTCACTGATAAACTCAAGGAAAAATGCTTTAGTTCACTCTTCTAATGATATAATATGCACCATTCAAAATAGTTGCAACTATGGTTACCTGAGTGTGTATGTGCACATGTGTATATAAGCAAACACTTGTTTAACTGGTTCTACACTTCTCCTAGCAATAAATATTATCAATCTGTCAAAACTGTCAATATGGTAGTTAAAAATACTTGATGTTGATTTACATTTGTTATAATGATGAGCATTTCCCCCATACTTTTTGGATATTGTACATATTACTCAGATGCCTACTACATGGCTTGTCCATTTTTTCTATTTCTTCTTTGTGATTCTTAAGAGACATTATTTTATTGGAGGAGCCCACTCTTATTCTGCCCACAAGGAAATGTTCCAGCATTCAGTTTGTAGTTGAAGGAGAATTTGAAATGATCATAGAAAGTTGAAAGTCACATAAGCAATCTGGAAACGTGAATCCTCTAAGGCTTCTTCTAGCTAAAGGAGCCCCCAGGAATCTGGGGACTAGGAACACAGGTGCCATCTTCCTGCTTCAAAATTGGCAGGCCCATTTTAATAGATTGGGTCACTTCACAGTTTGGTAACTGTAATGGCAACTTGCTCCTTTTTAGTCTCTTAGTGTTTGGATTTTCTCCTGCAGTGGAGAAGACTGATGGAATGATCTCATTTTCTTGCCTAGGTGATCCAGTCTCACAGACGACTGCCCCACCCACGCACACCGACTCGCAGGCGCCCTCTTCTGGAGGAACTGACCCTCAGACACTCAGCAGCACGGCTGTGCTTACCACACTCATGACTACTCTGAGCAGGCCTGATCCTTCAGGTTTGCGGGTCTTTTAGACTTGTACAAATATGAGGAGAACACGACAACTTCCTGTATTAAAGAAGGGTGTGAAAAAATCCAGCCACTTGTTCAACGTATAGCACTTGCTTGTTGATTTAGTTGGAATTTCGTAATTACCCTTAGGATATGAAACCACATAACAAAGGACATTCTAACAGATATGAAATAATAAATAATGCAGATTGAGGCTACAGCAAAACGGGTTGGGAAGAGCCAGTTATTCATGATATACTGTGTTTCTTTCTATTTTAGGCAGTTATTGTACAGTGAAACCTTGTTGCTAGTAATGAAGAATAATGAGTCTTTAAAACCTCAAATTCACAAACAATCATGAAGAACAGGTGATTGCTTGTTATTGATGAAAGGCACTAAAGAATGAAATTATTATTTAAAAATTGAAAAAAAAAGAAATACCTGCTTGTATTTTTCGACCAATTGTCCAGATTCTTTCATATTAAGCATCTTTGTATTCATAACAACACAAAGTATTCTTGCCCTATATTTCCAAAAGTAGTGTCTAAATCCTATCATGGTACCATTTTTTTCCCCACAGATAAAACAATCGTGTCCCTTCTCAGGTCATAAGTCCACACATTCACATATGTAAATTGAGTGGCCTGAGTACTTGGATGTTAAAGAAATAACATCCAAGTACACCTGGTGGTAGAGTAGTGCTTCCTGGTACAATTCAAACATGGAAGTTAAGCACATAAACAACGTAATTATTTATTTTGAAGGATTAATGTTGTCTTCTTGGCATGAAAATATTACAAGAAACCTACACATGTTAAAAAACTAGAAGAACTGTTCCTGCCTCCAGCCACATTCCACTTATGCCAGCTGCCAAGGGAACCACAATAGACTATTTGGTGCTTTTAGTAAATTCATAGACTCAGAAGTTGTAGGGGGGAAGAAATTGTAAAGTAACCAAAGAAAACTGACCCCTGGAGACTGGTTGTCACACAAACTCGTCTACTCTGCCTTCATCAAAGAATCCTTCTTCTCACGGTGGCTAATTCCACTAATTAAAGATCTATTTTGAGGAATCAACCCGGTTAACTTGTAAATGCCATTCCTAAACTGTGGCTGAGATTACCTACCTAAGGAGGGAAATGTGGCTTCCAAACGAGGAGGTAAAGCAGGCAATCTGGAGAAGTTGAAAACAAGGGGACCTGAGGACCGCATGGGGACAGGGGTTGCATGGGAGGAAAGAAGAGGCAAGTGAGAGAAGAGCAGGAAGGAAGGTGGAAGAAGGCTAGAGACAAACCTGGCTGCTTTCAAACTTTGCAGACTGCCAGTTCTAAGTCTAAATGAATTTTAAAAGTATAAATAAACTTTCCTACTCCTCTGCAGCCCTTTTTGGGATCCAGAACTGATGAATTGATGTTTATTCATTCTCTTTGGTGGCTTTAGTTAAATGTGGGTGTTTTGTAGGTTTTGAAGACTCAACTAAGAACTTAAACTCAATTAGGAGGGAGATGTATTTCCAATTCCAAAAGAAGGAATGTGTTAAATTAGGGGCTGCAATCCATTAGCAATTAGAAGATGTCTGCATATGCACATTAAAGCCATTTGCAGAACGTGCATATGTGTATATTCAGCTGAAATGCAGAGTCTCACTGCAAAGGGGCAAAATTTCATATCATTGAACTGATGACCCCAGGTATCCTCACTGAAATAACCAAACAAGCTCTGGAATAGGGGATAGCTCATGTTTCTTTTTTGCTTTTCCCATGATGACTACCATAGCACTAGTCACATTGCAGTTCAGGATGTGATGTCTGGGGGAAGATTATAATGAACATTAAGCGCTTTGAAGCCTGACAAGGAAAAATCTTAACTGAGCACAATGTGAATCTTCTATAAAACTAGATTCTATACTTATTATCTCATCAATTATTAGAAAATAAGGGAATTATTTCAGTATAATGTACCAATACTGTGTATTGGGTCCAAACCAATTTGATATTTTTCTGGTAAGGGAATTTACCCAGTGAAAGTAGAAGTATAACTTTCAGCCAGAAAGAACTCTGAGCTCAGCTACTGAATAGGCAGGAGCCCATTGTTTCTATTTTAAGAAAATTAAAACTGAGCACCTGCACACAGAGATCCTTCCCTAGAGAGGTGCACTCATGCAAGGTTCTCAGCAGGTGCCAGGCCCCACTTCCTCCTGTGTCAACCTTAACACAGTCTTTTATATGCAGAGTTTCATTTTAGTCTTCATGTTATCTGCATCACCAAGATAGCATCCCTCTCTGCTGCTCTAATATATTTTCAATATTGCCTAAAGCAACTCTCAGCTAAAAAGCTTGGTCTCCCTGTGCTGTCCAAGCTACTTCCTGGGACTCCAAATATTTTTTAATTTGTAGTCTGATTACAAAGCTGCATAGGTTTCCAGTTGTCTGCCCCTAAGATTCATGTTTCCCACAAGCCCACATGCTTTTAGCACAGTTTTGCAGAATGCATATATTGTGATACAGCAGTTATGCCTGATGCTCCTGCTCTGCCTTAGCTTCAGTAATCATATTTATGTGGGTTGTCTAACTACTGCCCTTGCGTGATAGGATCAAGTGACAGTGCTGATGGCCCTTCTGATTGCAGGTGTCCCCGATGGGAGGAGACTAATCAGCACCATTCCTGCAGACACAGCCTTCACTCCAGCAGTCACCCGCACACCTGCATACAACAGCTCTGCTGTCTTACCTGCACACACCACCAACATCAGCACCACAGAGAACTCCTCAGGTTTGCCTATGATGTTGCAGGTGCTTTAGGCTATGGATAATGAAATAGAAACTAGAAACTGGAATGCATCTCTTGTATCACTCCAAATATTATTTGCAGGCTTCCTGATTTATAGAATTTTACGTCTTGATACTAAATTAAGCACAAGAAACTTACCAGTAAGCTTTCTCTGGACATGTTTTTATTACTAATATTATAAAGGTTTGTGGTGAAAAAGAATAGATAATGAATGGGCTTTCATGTCATCTAGCCCTGGGATCAAATTCAGCTTCTTCATTTTTCTAGCTGATTTTAGGACCAGTTACTAGTATTTTCTGAATATTGATTCTCCCTTTTGTAAAAATGGATATAATAATACTCATTTCATGAGATTGATATGAAAAACCGAATGTGCAAAAAAGTCTGATATGCAATGGATATTACAAAAGGGTAACCAATCCCCTTAATATGGAAAATAAGGAGAGTTGTAATTGAAAGGAGAAAGAATCGTTTGAAGAGGATTATACATCAGATAAGAATGAAAATAGAAGATGCATAATTTGCTATCAACTTATATGATGTTTAGTTCAAATTACTTGAAATATTAATTATCTAAAAGGGTTTGTCATAGGAAATCTTTGGTTCATTTGATTATTTCAAAAATAAGCAAATATCTGTTCAACAAGGATTCCTAGAGCAAACATTTGATCAGCACATTATCTTTGCTAAAGAGTTTCCCCCCTCACCCTTTAATAGGACAAACTCATTAATTTTTATTCTTCTGTTCATGTCCTTATAGGTTCTGACAATACAACCCCAGAAGCCCATTCGACCATTCCATGGAGCACTGCCCCTCCAACCACAACAAAAGGTGACAACCGTACTCTCATTCTTGCAGTTGTACTCTCACCACTACTGTGGATTTACTCACAGCCTGGTCTTCCATCTCTTTTTCCTGTGGCTGCTTTCTTTGTGATTTTCAACTTAGCATTCCACTCCTGAGAGCCATGGGATAGCAGTTTAGTTCTGTATCCATTTGGCAGTGCAAAAACTGATGAGATCAGCATATAATCTTACTGTAATAGCCATCATACTGCAGTAATGCTCCCCACAAATTGTATGCTTTATGAAAACATGTGAGAAATAACCATATCTATTAGAAATTCTTTCTCTAAGAGTGGGTTTAGGTATTAGTGTGGAAATGAATAATACTGTCAGTGGAGCTCTCCTTCCTAAGTGTTGGATAGGTAGCAGAGGATGGGTGGCAGTTTTGGTCAAGCAACGTGCAGGCATGGAGGTCAATGGATGGGGCTCCTGGGGAATGCCCATAGCAATGGCCGCATCTGGATCAGCAAAAGCAGAGTCTGCAAGTCCACCATTCTCCCCCAAAATCTTCCAACTCTGAGAGAAGACGAGCAGAGATCTCTTACCGTCCACATATCGCATTTCTTTCCGACTCTTCAGTCAAATCATATGCTCACACAATATACTACTCAATTTGTTGAAAGAGCAATTTATTTTTCTCTTTGCAAAACTTCTTTTAAAGGAGTTTACAAAAGTTAAACTAAACAACAACACATTCTTTACCTATAATATGATTTTTAAAAGCAAAGTATAAACTTCTCTCAATAAGTATTATATCCATGAAAGTCGAGGTTTAGATTAGCAAAGGGGAAGAGGACCTTTAAAATATCTTTGGCAGTGTGACTATTTGTCATCATAATGCATTTAGATGTGTACCAAAGAGCCTTGATATTTTTTAAAATACTTTTAGGTGTAGATGGACACAATACTTTTATTTTATTTACTTATTTTCATGTGGTGCAGAGGATAGAACCCAGTGCCTCACACATGCTAAGCAAGTGCTCCACTGCTGAGTCAGCCCTTAATATTGTTTTTGTTGCAATTGTGTTTAGTGAATATTTTATACAACTAGCTCATTACTTTGTAACATTTGGGGTTTGATATCAGAACATGGTACTAGGCAAACTCTCCATTGTATTAACCTAACTAGATAGACTTGATAGTTCATGAAGTTAAAAAAAAAAATGTGAACCAGCTTTCCCCAAAATAACTAGAGAAGCTCTATTCTTAAAAAAAATAATAATTTACCTTCTTTTCTTTTTTATTACAGTTGCTACTACAACTAAACCAACATGTGGTAAGTTTGTTTACTTAGAGGTAACCTACATCAGTGTGAAATATCACTTTAATTATTTTCTTCTTAATTCCAAGATTTCAAGAAGAACCCCCGGCTCTAATTTCACATGGATTGACTAGCCCCAGATCTTGAGGGCCAGGATTCCTCAGGGGCAAGATGGTTAGATTTCACATTCAGCCCTGGTTTTGAGATCCAGGATTGTAAAGTTGGTAGACAACTTTGATGAAGCCACTTAACTAACAGTTAGTTATTTGTAAAATGGAATGATAGCAAGTTAACTTTGGAATGGGGCAAAGATAATAATATGTGAGTAATACTTTCAAAACATATCAAGAAGGAAAGAAGAAAAAAAAAGTCCATTTCTGATTCCCTCATCTCTCTGACTTGCCAGGCCAGGGGATAACTCAGTACACACATTTGGAAACAGTTTATCCACTCTCTCATTTTCTTCTTTTTGTCCCAGCAGAAGCAAAGTCTTACTTCACAGTCAGGTTTATCCTTATATTTACTTCTAAATATCACCACTGAAGCCACTGCCTTCAGTTGCTTTCTCTAATCTGATCTTTATACTAAGTGTATACATTTGCTTCATGCATTTGTTTAGGTAATGCAACCTTTTATGTTCAGGTTTCTGTGCAACTCTCCCCTGGTATCATCCTCTACTTACACTCTTCACTTAAGTAACACAAAACTACTTTTGCAAACACATGCTCCTGCCTTTGTGTTTGCTCCTGCTCTTCCTCTATACATTCACTTCTTCTCCATCCCTATTCTCTGGCCCCTGTATTTGTTATTCTATCTCCTACTCGTGTTTTAAAACACAAACAGAGTCATCTTTTCTGGAAATTCTCCACTCTCCCTCCAATATGAATAGATGTCTCTCTCTTTGCTTACAGATTATTCTTGCATAATCTTATTACAGACTTTTGCTTGTCTCCTGCAATTGAATCTGTGTTTATCTCCACATTGGACTCTACATTTCTAAAAGTTGATTATGTCTGACTTGCTTTTGTATTTCTGGAGTTTGGCACAGTCTCTTAAACATAACAAAGTCTTAAGAATTTTTGTGAAATAAAAACAAGTGAATAGATTGATATTTGTTAAAAAGATAGTTTTACAGTCAGTGGAAATTGTTGACATTAAATTAAAGTGTTTAGAATGTGTTTGTTATTATAAAAAATTAAGTCAAGGATTGAATGAGGGTATATAGTCTATGAATAATTAACATTCCACATATTGGGAGAAACAATGACAAGACTATAATTTATAACCACATTTTAGAAAACAAGGGAAATTATAAATTAGAAGAAATTTGTCAGATTTGTGCCTCAATTCAACAAGTAACTATTGAGCTCTTACTAATAACAGATATTATGTATTGACCTGAATTTATGTCAGTGTTCAAAATAAACTAGTTGTGGTTTTCATGGAATTTATAGCCCCATTAGGAAGATAGAGATTAACACAATAACCATCCAAATATAAATTTATAAGTTGGAGTCCTTGATAAGTAAAGTAAAGGGAACTATTAAAGAGTGGTATGGAGGCCCCTGATGTATTTCTTCTGTTTTAATTTTTTATGTTTGTGGGGATATTTTGTTTGTAATTTGACGTTTTAAAAATATATATTAAGGAATTTGTATTTAATGTAGTTTTATTTATTATTTATAAAAGGTAATTCTTACTTTTATTTTCTTTCAGAGGAAAAATACAAGGACATCTCTGTGAATTATAAATATGACAAATCTAATAAATTATTTGTGGCAGAGCTGAATGTTAAAGATAATGTGTCATGTAACCTTCAAGAATGTGAACCAATATTGCAAAATCTACAGGGATGTTACAATGGTGAATTGAATATATCACATTCTTCATGTATTGCTCCACCTAAAGTGTTACAATTAGATGTACCACCAGGTAAATACCAATTTATTTCTATTTGTATATTTATTAACATAGCACAGTTTGCATATGTGTTCTAGTGGTCCCAGGAACTAGTCTGATGAGAGAACAGGGCTGAGGGAATTCAAGTAGACAATGAATGAATTGTATGTTCACCTAACCCAGGAAAAATGATGAAGTCATATAAGCCTTCTCTTCATATCCTGGATCACTGCTTCTACTTCTTTTACAAAGAGATCACGTAACTTAAATATGATTTATTCCACTACCTGATTTTATATGTTTTCTCTTCTTTTATTTAATTCAAGTTATTATATATTTATATATTATATATGCACATATCTTTTATACACACACATATTTAAGTTAAGGATTTGATGTGTATGGAAAGAACCCAAATAATTTCACAGTAGAGTTTCATTACATTAGGACATCAAGCTAATTTTGTGAACTACATCAGTGCTGGGAAAGAGAAATGACCTAAAGTGACAAGCAGACTCCAGTGAAGTATTTCTTAGCAAAATGCATATGAAAGAGTGATTGAAAGACTGAACAGTTACCTAAAAATTCTTATGTCATTTAGTAAAGTGAAGATTATTGAGCAACTTATTAACATTTGAATATGTTATAATCTGATGCTTTAAAAAAATCCACTGAATTCTTTCATTTTCCAAAAACTACTGAAATAAAAAAATCATTGAATTCAGAAAAATGACAATATTTAAAAATGCCTTCCCCAAGATGGAAAACTCGAATATTTTGTGCAATAATAGTCCTAGTAAACGTCAAAGAGTTCACAGAAAAAACGAACATACCAATAAGAAAGCAAATGAAATCTTTTAAAATGTGCAAAACTGAAATTTTATCTAGACATTTTTCAGCCTTTATTTTTAAACGTAGCATAAATTCTAAATGAAACCCTACTGAAGTGCATGGTGTTCAAAAAATAATAAATACTATTTTCCATAAAGAATGATAAAAGTTTGAAGTGATACATATAACTACCCTTACATTATCATTACACAACACATACATGTATCAAAACATCACATTGTACATCACAAATTAGTACCAATTATGTGTTAATTAAAAATAAAGGCAAACCAATAATAATAATAATAATAATAATAATAATAATCAGGAAGCACCAAACCCTGAAGGTTAGCAGGCTTTTTCAAAAGCTATACATATGCTTATCAAATCTTTTTTTTTTTTTACATTTGAATCAAATGGGGTATAATTACTCCTTTTTCTGAGTGTACAGGCTGCTGAATCACATTGGTTATACAATCACGTATATACATACAGCAATAATAATGCCTATTTTATTCTGCTGCCCTTCCCATCCCCCCCTCTCCTCCCCTCCCCTCCCATCACTTCTCTCTACCCAATCTAATGTGACACACTTCTTTTTTTTTTTCCCTCACATCACCATACATGTAATCTGTATAATGATGAGGGTCTCCTTCAATCTTCCATACAATTCGCCTTCTCCCTCCCATTCCCTCCCACCTCTCTTCCCTATATAGAGGTAATTTTCTTCTCATGCTCTTCATCCCTACCCCATTTTGAGTCACCTCCCTTATATCAGAGAAGACATTTGGCATTTGTTTTTTTTGGGATTGGTTAACTTCACTTAGCATAATCTGCTCTAATGCCATCCATTTCCCTGCAAATGCCATGATCTTATTATTTTTTAGTGCTGAGTAATATTCCATTGTGTATAAATGCCACATTTTTTTATCCATTCATCCATTGAAGGACATCTAGGTTGTCTCCACAGTCTAGCTATTGTGAATTGTGCTGCTATAAACATTGATGTGGCTGTGTCTCTGTAGTATGCCATTTTTAGGTCTTTTGAATATAGACTGAGAAGAGGAATAGCTGGGTCAAATGGTATTTCCATTCCTAGTTTTCCAAGGAATCTCCATACTGCTTTCCAATTGGCTGCACCAATTTGTAGTCCCACCAGCAATGTATGAGTGTGCCTTTTTCCCGCCTCCTCGCCAGCACTTGTTGTTGTTTGACTTCATAACGGAGTGAGATGGTATCTTAGAGTAGTTTTAATTTGCATTTTGCTGATTGCTAGAGATGGTGAGCATTTTTTCATGTATTTGTTGATTGATTGTATATCCTCTTCTGAGAACTGTCTGTTCAGGTCCTTGGCCCATTTGTTGATGGGGTTATTTTTTTTGTTGTTGTTATTTAACTTAAAGAGATTAGGGCTCTATCTGATGTGTGAGTGGTAAAAATTTGTTCCCAGGATGTAGGCTCCCTATTTACTTCACATATTATTTCTCTTGCTGAGAAAAAACTTTTTAATTTGAATTCGTCCCATTTGTTGATTCTTGGTTTTAATTCTTGTGCTATAGGCATCATATTAAGAAACTTGGGGCCTAACCCCATGTGATGGAGATTAGGGCCTACTTTTTCTTCTATTAGACACAGAGTCTCTGGTTTGATTCCTAAATACTTGACCCATTTTGAGTTAAGTTTTGTGCATGGTGAGAGATAGGGATTCAATTTCATTTTGTTGCATATGGATTTCCAGTTCTCCCAGCACCATTTGTTGAAGATGCTATCCTTCTCCAGTGCATGCTTTTAGCATCTTTGTCTAATATAAGGTAGTTGTAATTTTGTGGGTTGGTCTCTGTGTCCTCTATTCTGTACCATTGGTCTACCAGCCTGTTTTGGTGCCATTACCGTGCTGTTTTTGTTTCTATTGCTCTATAGTACAGTTTGAAATCTGGTATCGCTATACCGCCTGATTCACACTTCCTGCTTAGAATTGCTTTAGCTATTCTGAGTCACTTATTTTTCCAGATGAATTTCATAATGGCTTTTTCTATTTCTATGAGGAATGCCATTGGGATTTTGATTGGAATCATATGGAATCTGTAGAGTGCTTTTGGTAATATGGCCATTTTAATAATATTAATTCTGCCTATCCATGAGCAAGGTATATCTTTCCATCTTCTAAGATCTTCTTCTATTTCTCTCTTTAGGGTTCTGTAGTTTTCATTGTCTAGATCTTTCACCTCTTTTGTTAGGTTGATTCCCAAGTTTTTTTTTTTTTTTTTTTTTTGAGGATATTGTGAATGGAGTAGTTTTCCTCATTTCCATTTCAGAGGATTTGTCACTGATATACAGGAATGCCTTTGATTTATGAATGTTGATTTTATATCCTGCTACTTTGCTGAATTCATTTACTAGTTCTAGAAGTTTCTTGGTAGAACCTTTTGGGTCTGCTAGGTATAGGATCATGTCATCAGCAAATAGTGCTAATTTAAGTTCTTCTTTTCCTATAGTTATACATTTAATTTCTTTCATCTGTCTAATTGCTCTGGCTAGTGCTTCCAGAACTATGTTGAATAGAAGTGGTGAGAGAGGGCATCCCTGTCTTGTTCCTGATTTTAGAGGGAATGCCTTCAATTTTTCTCCATTTAGAATGATGCTGGCCTGAGGCTTAGCGTAGATAGCTTTTTCAATGTTGAGGTAACTTCCTGTTATCTCTAGTTTTTCTAGTGTTTTGAACATAAAGGGATGCTGTACTTTGTAGAATGCTTTTTCTGTGTCTATCGAGATGATCATATGGTTCTTATCTTTAAGTCTATTGATGTGATGAATTACAATTACTGATTTCCATATATTGAACCAGCCTTGCATCCTGGGGATGAATCCCACTTGATCATGGTGAACGATCTTTTTGATATGTTTTTGTATCTGATTTGCAAGAATTTTATTGAGGATTTTTGCATCTATATTCATTAGAGATATTGGTCTCTAGTTTTCTTACTTTGAAGTGTCTTTGTCTGGATTTGGAATCAGGGTGATGTTGGCCTCATAGAATGAATTTGAAAGTACTCCCTCTTTTTCTATTTCCTTAAATAGATTGTAGAGTATTGGTATTTGTTCTTCTTTAAAGGTTTTGTAAAACTCTGCTGTATATCTGTCCAGTCCTGGGCTTTTCTTGGTTGGTAGTCTTTTGATGGCTTCTTCTATTTCCTCACTTGATATTGGTCTGTTTAAGTTGTGTATACCTTCCTGACTCAATCTGGGCAGATCATATGACTTAAGAAATTTATCAATGCCTTCACTATCTTCTATTTTATTGGAGTATAATGTTTCAAAATAATTTCTAAGTATCCTCTGTATTTCTGTATTGTCTGTTGTGATATTGCCTTTTTCATCCCGTATACTAGTAATTTGGGTTCTCTCTCTTCTTCTCTTCATTAGCATGGCAAAGGGTCTATTGATCTTATTTATTTTTTCAAAGAACCAACTTTTAGTTTTGTCAATTTTTTTCAATTGTTTTTTTTATTTCAGCTCTGATTTTAATTATTTCTTGCCTTCTACTGCATTTGCTGTTGATTTGCTCTTCTTTTTCTAGGGCTTTGAGATGTAGTGTGAGATCATTTTTGTTGGTTTTTTCTTTTTTTGAGGAATGAACTCCATGCAATGAATTTTCCTCTTAGTACCGCTTTCATAGTGTCCCATAGATTTCAATATGTTGTGTCTGTGTTTTCATTTATCTCTAAGAATTTTTTAATTTCCTCCTTGATGTCTTCGTGTAACCCATTGTTCACTCACTAGCATGTTGTTCATTCGCCAAGTGATGTAGGAATTTTTCTTCCTTATTTTATCATTGATTTCCAATTTCATTCCATTATGATTGGATAAAATGCATGGTAATCTCTACTCCTTTATATTTGCTAAGAGTTGCCCTATGGCATAATATATGGTCTGTTTTTGAGAAGGATCCATGTGCTGCTGAGAAAAAGTGTATCCGCTTGATGATGGTTGATATATTCTGTATATGTCAATTAAGTCTAGGTTATTAATTGTGTTATTGAGTTCTATAGTTTCTTTATTTAACTTTGGTTTGGAAGATATTATTATTATTAATATTAATATATTAATAATATTAATAATATTAATAATATTCATAATAATAAAACAACTAAATGATCAGGAAGCACCAAACCCTGACGGTTATCAGGCTTTTTCAAAAGACATACATATGCTTATCAAATCTTGACAGGAATATAATTTTAGAGACTTTATTTGGGAAATAATACAGATTGTGAAGTGTTAATCAGGTCTATTTTTGTATCTTCTTGACAGATCTTGAAAAGTTTAAGTTAGTTAGTTGCACACCAGGAGAAGCAGCAAATACTTCCATTTGTTTAAAATGGGAAGAAAAACCTGCTTGTGGTGAAGAGAAATTTGACTACAGATATCAATGTGGTAAGACTATAACATTGATCAGAAAATTTCTTTAATGCTACAAAGTTTTTCTAGATACTGTTTAATTCTTTTTCTCCTCCTCCCTGCCTATCTCTTGCTATTTATTTATTTATTTATTTATCTATTTATTTATTTATTTGGTTTATGGGATATTTGAAGTCAAACAACTGTATTATTTATACTGCTCAAGTTCACAAAATGGAGACTCACCCTGTAAGGGCCATACTGACAAAGTAAAAGTTTATTAATTTAAATATTTTTCTTGGTAATTAATTGCTATATACCAGGCATTGTTGACGAGATTATACCCTGATAGAAAGGAAAAACTGATAGGGGATTGTAAGATTCAAGAGTTTACTGTGTCAGGCTTCCATCAAGAAAGTTCACACAGAAGGTCAAGAATACTTAATGATAATAATAGTTGTTATTATTATTGGAAAATAATTATAATGGCAAAATATCAACTGCTTCTAGGCCCTTGGCATAAAGACCCCTGCCAAGCCATGTTTGGCAAGATGGACAGATATGCACACACCCACCCACCCACCCCCCCCCACACACACACATGTGCACACAGAGGATGGAGTGCAGCATCTGATGTCATCATCATGTTAAGGGAAAGGTGCCTGCTACAGTGTAAGCAATGTGAGCACAGCCAGAGCAAACGTGTGACAGATGGACAATTAAAAAACCGTCTGTCCAGGCAAAGGCTAACTAAGGTGCAATCTCAGTTCTGAACAGAGAATTCTGAGGCAAGGCCTCCTTCCATCATTAAATGAGGGACACTCTCAAATAAAGTTACTCTTGCTAAGTATTTCCTTAAAAATTGAGTGTAGCAAAACCATTTTCGGGACCTTTGACTTACTATTTCAACCATTTGCATTGGTTTCCTAGCTAATTAATATATTATAGTACCATAAATATGGATTAAAAAGAAAGTTAGATGTGATATGTTTATGTACTCATATGCAATAATTATTTATTTCAGGTAATTTGACATCTACTAAGAAAGAAGCACAATTTAAAGACCTTCTTCCGAAAAAAAACTATAGTTGTACATCAGAAGTGTTATATAATGGCAATTCATATACTAATGACAGTATATTTATTGAGACAGATTTTGGAAGTGAGTATGTTACCTATATTTATATATAAAATTGCTTTCCATTTTATGTTCTTGTACAGAAAATAATGGAATTTTAGAGAACAAATTTTTAAAGTTGAATTTGAAAATAAATTACACAACGCCCTAACTTCTGTCAGTTTATTTACTTGTTTATTTTTTCTGTTTAAAGCTGTAATAAGGTCATATTGGAAACAGAACTGAAATAAGTAAAATGTTTTGTTTTCTCACTTGTCATTTCATTTTCCCTTCTTTTAATAGCACAATTCTCTGTTTTGTATATTTCTGTACCTTCTGCCCCTCTGTCAAAGCCTGCCTCTATGACAGAAGTAAAATGAGCAAAGAAACTCACAAAGCACAGTAGTATATCTAAGTATCGATTGCAAAATAGTTATTATTGTTATCAAAGTACTGGCAATATAAGTCATAAGAAGATAATAATTCTTAATTAATAACTGAAGCGTGAGATTATGAAAATTAATAGCATTTAGGAGAATGGGTGAAAAAGTGTTAAAATTTACATATTTATTTAGATCTATAAAGAGTCCAATTAAATTCAGAATTTTCTAGGAAAATGCATTTATTATTTGTCTGACAATTTATGAGTAACCACCATAAGGAAAGTAAAAGAGATGGGACTGCCAACAAGCAGTAGAAGAGAATTATGGAATGAAGAGTTCTATGTGTCACAGAAGGAAGGGTGATATGGAGCAGCAAGAGGAGGAGGGGGACGAAGAGCAAAAGAAGAGAAGGAAGAGCAGGAAGAGGCAGAGAATACAAGTAGAAAACCACAGGGAAGATAAATGTCACAATAGATCAAAAGTTACAATAAAAAAATGAGTGCTTTGCACAGATACTCAGATTTGAGTAAAGACCAATTTGGGGGAAATTCTGTAGCATTAAAAATGTTAAAGTGATTTTATTGGAATTTTTTCACTTTGGTATATGTTGAATGAAAGTCAATAAAAAGTGCCTATGAAACAAATGCAAAGATAACCAGGTTTAGAGTACATATTATTGAACAAGGGAACAAACAAAAATAGTAGGAATTCATTAATAAGTATGAGTTCTGGCTTTTGAAAAGAATAATAAAATAGCTAATGTCTAGCAGAACAATCCTTCCTCCAAGAATTGAATAAAACAATAAGAGTAAAAAGTATCGTAGAAATTCTTTTTTTTTTAATGTAAGAAATTCTGTAAGTTAGAAAACAACCTTGTATCCAATTTGAAAAGTTAGATAACATGTATAATTTTCTAAAGGCTCTGATACATGAACACTTACTAGGAAGAATTAGGAAATTAGAATTAAAACTATACCAACTTATCTCTCTACTCACCTGTTTTCTTAATGGTCTGTTTAAAAAAAGAAAGAAAAGAAAAGAAATGGTTGCTTTATAGGGGATGAGTGTGTAGCTCAGTAGTAGAACTCATGTTTAGCATGTACAAAGTTCTATATTTAATTCACAACATCTGGAAAAATAAATAAAAATAAAAAGGTAGCTTTACCAGCAAGATCATCAACTATTCAAAAAACAGATAATTTTTATCCAAATACTCCACAGTATAGGAGAGGCATGGGAACGTCTCAACACACTTTGATTATTCTTAGGGTTTGGAATAGGCTTAGGGTTAATGTAATGTGGGTATGAAACCTGGCCACAGCTTAGACAACTGCAGGTCTGAATTTCCTTATTTCCTATGAAAATAGGAACTAAATAGTAAGTGGACAATTAGCAAAATGGATTAAAAATAATATGACATTATTAAGAGTTATCCCAGTAATACAGAAATATATATATATAGATATAGATATAGATAGATAGAGATATAGATATATACATATATATACACACACATACATATATGTATGTACTTATAGAATATATATTATAGAATATATATTACAATAATATGTATGACATGCTATATAATATGTAATATATAATATATATATTCTATAAGTATATGTAAAATATATATATATATATATATATATTTCTGTATTACTGTTATGTGTGTGTGTGTGTATGTGTGTGTATACATGGTTTGTGGTGAGTGTTCAACTTCATTTTTTTTGCATGTGACCATCTAGTTGCCCTATCTGGTTGCCCAATTGCTGAAACATGTTCTTTCTCCCATTGGATAGTCTTGCTATTTTTGTCAAAACTTTGGTGAACATAATGACAAGTGTATTTCTTGACTCTTAGTTCTATTCATTGGTTTATATATCTATCTTTATACCAGTACTAGACACTTACTATTGCTTTGTGATGAGTTTTTGAAACCAGAAAGTAGGAGTCATTCAAATTCATTCTTCTTCCCCAAGATTGTTTGGAATATATGGCATCCCTTGAAATTCCAGATGAATTTTAGGATCAAATAACAGTTTTTACAAATGATCTTCCTGAAATTCTGACAAGGATTGTCCTGAATCTAGACCAATTTGGGCCATATGGGTACATGACATGTTAATCTTCTAGTCTATAAACTGATGTAGAGTGTCTTTCCATTCATTTAGGTCTTTTAAAATTTATATCCAAAATGTTGTGTAGCCTGCAGATTTTGTATTTTTTGTTGAATTTATTCCTAATTTAAGTCTATTCCTGCTTATAATAGTATTGTTTTTTTTTAAATTTCATTTTCTGGGTATTCATTGATAATATATAGAAATAAAATAGATTTTACTCTATTAATTTTGCAATATGCCACTTTGCTAAACTTATTTATTAATTGTAATATTTCAAGATTTTTGATGGAACCTACTAAAGTGATTCTAAATTCTGTATGGAAGCAATGGCTGAGGACTAATGGCTGAGGAAGCAATGGCTGAGGAATGCCTAAATCCAGCTCTCCCTATAATCTCCCAAAATAATATAAACTACAGGAAGAGCAAATAAAACTACATAAAAACTATACCCTTAACATTCTAGAAAAATGTAATACTTTTACATATTAAGAACTAAAATCATTAGTCTTTATAAATCATTGTATTAAAATAGGAATCTTAGAAAACTATATTTAAATTTAAGAAAAGGGCATAAGTATTTCTGTTGTGGAAAGGGTATCATTATAGAAAAAAAAGAACATTAACCTTTATCTCTGAACAAACACAAAAATTCACTCAAAATGGTCTGTAGATCTAAAAGCTTAAACTATAAAAAAAAAAAAAAATCCAACTAAAGGCATAGGAGTATATCTTTGTGTCTTTAGTCTAGGCAAAGCTTTCCAAGGCTTAAAAAAATCAAGAATCATTAAAAAAATTGATGAACTGAGCTTCATCAAAATTGAACATTTCTCCCCTTTGAATGAAGAGATTAAAGGAAATAAAAAAATCAAGCCATACATTGTAAGGGAGTATCTACCATTGATGTTTTTCAACAAAGGAAGATTTTTTTCAGAATGTATAGAGAGTTCTTTGAGCTATGAAATATGACTTCAAATAGGACAGTTAAAAATGGGCAAACAGCCAGGCACCATGGCACATGCCTGTAATCCCAGAGGCTTGGGAGGCTGAGAAAAGAGGATTGTGAGTTCAAAGCCCAACTCAGCAACTTAGTGAGGCCCTAAGCAATTCAGTGAAACCCTGTCTCTAAACAAAATATAAAAAGGGCTGAGGGTGTGTCTCAGTGGTTTAGTGTCCCTGAGTTCAATCCTGGTACCAAAAAAGAAAAGAAAAGAAAAAGAAAAAAGAAAAGCAAATGTTTTAAACATACACTTGGCAAAAAAAAAAAAAACTGCCTAATACACACGTAAAACAATGATCAAAATCATTAACCATCTGCAAAATGCAAATTGAAGCAATAAGGTGAATATGATAGTTTACATCCACTAAAATTAAAAATACTGGCAATAGTAACTATTGGTGAGGATGTGAAGTAATAATGACCCTTCAACATCACTTTAGATATTTACCAAAGAGGGAAAAATATATCCGCAAAACAAAGCAGATTCATTCAGAGTAGCCCAAAATCTAGAAATAACTCAAATATCATCTACTGCTGAATTATAGATAAATGTGACATACCTTTACAATGATATAAATACTGCTTGTATTAGTCACCTTTTCATCCTATAAGGAAATACTAATGTATAAATAGAAAAGGTTTATTTAGATCATGATTCTGGAAGTTTTTTTCCAAGATTGGGTGACCCCAGGCTTTGGGCCTCTAGTGAGGACACTGGATGGCAATCATGGGGAGTGCATCCTTGAGCAAACTGCTCACCTTGTGCGCCATGAAGCAAAAAGAGAAGAGGAAGAGACTGGGGTTCCTCAATTCCATTCAAGGGTATGCCTTCAATGACTTAAGAACCTCCTATTAGATTCTATCTCCTAAAGGTTCCACCACTTCCCAGTAGCACACTTTAGGAACCAACCTTTAACGCATGGTCATGGAGGACATTCAATATCTGAACCACAGCATGACCAATGAGTAAAAAAGAAATCAGTAGCCACTGACATATGCACCAAGAAGAATAAACCTCCAGAACGTTATGTTACATTAAATATGTGGGACATAAAATATTACTTACTGTTTAATTTTATTTGTATGAAATTGATAATAAGACACATTTAATATATGGTAACAGAAAGCAGATCAGAAGGTGTGTAGACTGGGCAGTGGAGCTGGGTTGACTGAGAAGAGGCACAAAAGAACTTTTTGAGATGATAGAAGTACTATACATCTTGATGATGGTGTGGGTGATGTGGATGTATACATTCATTGTAATTTGTCAAGCTGTACCTCAAGTGGATGCATTTCAACATAAATTATGCCTCAGAAATTTCATTTAAACATCTATAACATTCTTTATCTCAGGTTTTAATAACTAGTTACTGGAAGCAATGAGTGCTACTCAAATACTTACTGTTAAATTTATCAGTGCTAAAAAGTTGATATTCTTGACACAGCAAGTTCTAGAAATTTCAAGGTATCTTGACAATGACATGTATGAGAGGAAAAGGGCATTCTTGGGTATCTTCAGGTCAATGGAATGCTTAAGCTTCACAAGGCCACCCTGAAGAGACACTTAGCCTGTTCATTAATTCTAAAGCAAATTTAATAAACTCCAATTTTGTTCTTTAAATTTCATTGCTAATTCACAATTAAATATGGCTATTAATATTGCACAGTGGTTATATAAAGAATGATTGTTCTGTGTCTTATTTTTCATATTACCTATTTTTATTCTTTAAACAGCTCCAGGAATGCCTCAGAATCTTTCTTGCCGTGGTGAAAGTGATGAAAAAGGAGTAATTTGCTGGAAATCCCCAGAAAGTGGGTTCACTCCCAGTGGATTTGTTCTTTGTCATGAGCTCAATTCAGGTAATTTATATAGAATTAAATTCTATATCAGGAAAGAGAAATAAAGAATTTAAAAGTATTAGACGTATGAAGAGAGCCAGTGAACCATAGAGCTTCAAGCATAGAGACTATGAGAGTATCCTATTTGCCTTGATTTTAGAATTGCTTCCATTCTGAACACAGAACATCTCCAATATTGGCTTATTTTTCATGATGTGTCTTTGTTCCAATCTTTGCACTCCAAAGCTTGGATGAAGAAAATCTCTAACAGACATTACTTATATCTGTCTTGTAAATGTTATGTAATTGACTCATACTGTTTCAAAATCATTATTCAAGTCCCTAAACAAGCCAACCAAAAGCAAACACCTTCCAAAACTTACTCCAGTGGCTATACACAAAATATTGTCTGTCCATCTATAGAGCTGGTGTGGGATTGGAAGGGATGGAAAAGGAAGTTGGACAAGATCATGTGTGCCCTTTTCTCCAAAACTGTATGCTAGTAGCTAAATCCAGCCTTCACTCTAGAACATGCACTACCTTTGCCTAAAGCGCCTTTGGATTCAGGACACAGTCTATTTTCTCCATAGCAAAACCCACCATCCTCCTCACAGATGTGCTCTGCTTTGTTTTCTCATTCATCTCAAAACCGTGCCATAATGAGATCCTCTCTCACTGTATCCAAGAGAAAGAGAGCTGGTAGGATCATAATATTTTGGAAGTAGTTGTTAACCACTCTTGTTATTTCAAATAAAATCACTGTTAAAATCCACAGGAATAAAGTCTTTCAGATTTATAGTTCATATTACTTTTTAATCATAGATTATATTTTATTGTTTCATAATTTGTTTCAGGGACTCTGAAAGCCAGGAATTAAAATGTGAGGAAAAATGTATTTGTTATTTATTTAGTTTCCTTGGTTTATCGGGTATTTTTATAATGTTCTACTTAAACCATTTTGTCCCATCATTCCAGATGTGGAATACCAGTAAAAACTTAAATATAACATATAATCTATAATATAATTATATTATAATGTCAAGACTCTAATTACAATTATATTAATTAATATAATAATATATAAACTCTAGGTTATAATTTCCAGTCTATTTTAATGTACCAGTGTGAGTTTTTTTGAAGTATTGAAGTATTCACAGAATTGGAAACATTGGACTTAATGGGTTAACGATTTCATCAAGTATCCTAATAATGACTCTGAGAAGGAAGTCATATATATATATATATATATATATATATATATATATATATATATACACACACACACACATACATATACATATATATATGCATATACATATATATGCGTATATGTATATATATTACATATATGCATATATATATATTTTTTCATGGTTCATATGATGAAACTGAGGCCAACAGAACTTGAGATAAATGTTCAACAGCTTAGGCTGTGCTCTTTCTGCCATTGCGTTGTTCATGATTTCAAACATTTTAGGGAACTACACTATTGTGTCATTAACTTAATGATGCCAACTGAATAAAAATTCCTCAGTAGTGGGAATGAGTACTTCTAAATTTACTGCATTCGGGGGAGTATTTTTAAACCTTATTGAAATCAATGTGAACTCTACAAAATACCAATAATATTGCTGGGCATTATTTTATGGATTGCTTTTTATTAAAGGAAAAAATACAGCTTTTTTTTTTTTGACAGTACAAAATCCAATGAGTAGCAGCATGGTGACATGATTTGAAACAGTATTTAAGAAGATGCTTTAAAGTAGTCCAAGTCAGGAAATTGATAGCACATTTCCTGAGATCTTTCTGAAAAAGAAAGCACAAGCAGAGAACTTAGTATATCTGTGAATTTTCAGTGCAACACACATGACTCTGAGACAGGACATGTCTCAGTTGCCTCACTTTTTAAAAAATTTGTTCTACTTAATTACACGATAGTAGAATGCATTTTGACACATCATATATAAATGGGAGTATAATTTCTCATTCTTCTGGTTGTACATGATGTAGAGTTTTACTAATTGTGTAATCATATACGCATACAGGGTCATAATGTTCAATTCATTCTATTATCCTTCCTCGCCCCATATCACTTTCCCTCCCTTCACGCCCCCTGTCTAATCCAAAGTACCTCTATTATTCCCTAGCACCCTTTATTGTGACTTAGTTTAGCATATCAGAGAAAACATTTGGCCTTTGTTTCTTTGGGATTGACTTATTTTGCTTAGCATGATATTCTCTAGCTACATCCATTTATGGCAAATGCCATAATTTCATTCTTCTTTAAGGCTGAATAATATTCTATTGTGTATGCATACCACATTTTCTTTATCTATTCACGTGTTGAAGGGCACATAGTTTGGTTCCATCATTTAGCTATTGTGAATTGAGTTGCTATAAACATTGGTGTACCTGCATCACTGTAGTATGCTGATTTTAAGTCCTTTGGGTATGTGCCAAGGAGTGGGATAGTTGGATCAAATGGTGGTTCCATTCCAAGTTTTCTGAGGAATCTCCATATTGCTTTCAAGATTGGTTGCACCAACTTGCAGTCCCACCAGCAATGTAATCATTCTAGAATAGCTACTATATCTCACTATTGGGAATCCCATGGTGTTGTCTAGATATTACAACTTCCACTTTACAAATAAGTGACTAAGATAAGACATAAGCATATACTGCATCTTTTAAACACTCATTGCTTCTACAAGCCCAATGGCACATCCAGAGAAGGGAGGCATTCAAGAAAAAGGTCAAGCTTTGTCCTGCTATGGTTACTTGTCCCCTCTTCTACCCCAGTTGGCATGTGAAATGGCAAAGAATGGAGAATGGGCTCTGAGATCTCAAGCTTGATTTCACGTTGACTTCATTCTTCCTTTCCACTGGAGTCATGGACAGATTGTTGGATCTCTCTGTAGCTCGGTTTTCTCATCTGTAAAATCAGATGATACTACATATAGAGTCAAAGAGATGATTAAACTAATTGATTCATGTATATTGTCTAAAAATCATGTGCCGGACATCTTGGCACATGGAACAAGTACTTGCTTTGTTTTTTTTTTATCATTATAAGTTTTATTATTATCATTTTAGCTGCTATTCAATAACATGCCAATTCTCCTATCTTCATTTAACCCATCCTTTCTTATGTCATTTGTCTAATAAAAAAATGTCAGTTCCTTTCGGGGAGGATGACGGCCAACATGTCATGAAGGGGTTTTTCTTCCTGTCCAGGAGAATCCAAGCCACCCTAAAACTTACAATCTTGAGCAATTAGTAAATAACAAAGCACAAATACTCAGAAATATATTTAGGAAGCAAAGCCCCTGATAGATCTAGTCCATGTGGGTTCTGGAACTAGAAAAAAGACAAAATGGCTTTGGTAGTTTACTTAAGGGGGTCCATCAAAGCAGAGATAAGGTTTCAAGGGCAAAGTCTTGCTTCCTGATGTCTTGCATTCAGCAGGTTGATTGACATTTTGGCAGGTCACACCCATCTCAGATGCTGTGTGGGATCTTTGGCAGAGCTTGAGGGGAAAGTTCACCTACATCAGGTCGTCAATCCCTGCGGGGGTGGGGGGGTGCCTCCAAAAGTTCCCAATGCCAGACTTACGCCCTCGCAAGGCTACTATGTGCAACAGTCCACACACAGCCCACGGACAGCTAATGACAAAGGTCTAGTGATGTTTTTCACTTGACAAATGCTAACTCTTCTGCCTAAATGTTAAGATACTTCAACGAGACCCAATCTCTCAGATGTGTCCCTGACTTAGTCAGGCTTGTCCCTAAACTGAAAACATTCCTTCTTTGACTTATAGCATCTTCTTTTCTCCCTTAAGCCACTCAGTTTCACTCATCTTTGAATGAAGAGCTCAGATTCCAATACTAGAGTGAAGCTTTCCCTCAGTCTCATGGATCCCATGGACTCCTGTAGTGCTTAATGTAGTGTGATAGAGCAGACCTAGTTATTGATGATCAAATGGTGTCTGCAGTGGAGGTTCATAAAGGTAGCTCAGGTTAATGTTCAACATTTGGAGGCTAAGAATTGGAAAAGGTTTGATAAAAAACTATTCCAATTTACAACTTTTATAGTTGTCTTAGGAATAAAAGAGAATACCTTCACAAATGTATCTGGGATTTTAAATATATCATGTACTAAAATCAATCATATGAAACCATCATTTTTGAATATTTGAGTTTATTTATAAAAATTGAATTGTTCAATAATATTTTCTGAGCATTATATGTACATCTGAGCATTAAGGATATACTTATTTCTCATTAATTTGGAGTCTGCTTGGAATTACGTGGAGACCAAATGAAAAATATGGTGATCGTGACTTTTAAGAACTTTGCTAAATTTTTCTTTTCTTTTCTTTTCCTAAGGAGAAAAATGTGTCACTCTGGAGATGAACCAAAGCAAATATGATTTGAGAAATTTGAAACCCTTTCAAAAATATAGTGTATCATTATACGCCTTTGTCATTGCAAAAATACAACGTAATGGAAATGCTACTCGGTGTGAATTTCAAACCCAAGCAGGATGTAAGTTCCGGGATTTTTAAAATTTTTGATAATATCATTTTATTTTCAAAAATATGTGTGTTATTCATATGTTTATATATATATATTATTTGTTTTTATTAGTTATACATGACAGTAGAATGCATTTATGTACTTTGATATGTCATACATAGCTGGGATATCATTTCTCATTTTTCTGAATGTACATGTTGCAGAATCATATTGGTCATGTAGTCACATAAGTACATACAGTAATAATGTCTGTTTCATTCTACTATCTTTCCTATCCCCATATCCCCTCCTCTCCCCTCCCATCACTTCTCTCTACCTAATCTAAGATAATGCTATTCTTCCCTAGTGCCCCCACTCTGCCTTATTGTGAATTAGCATCTGCATATTAGAGAAAACATTTGGCTTTTAGTCTTATTGGATTGGCTTATTTCACTTAGCATTATATTCTCCAACTCCAACCATTTACTGACAAATTCCATAATTTTACTCTTCTTTAAAGCTGAGTAATATTCCATTGAGCATATATACCACATTTTCTTTATCCATTCATCTATTGAGGGACACCTAGGCTGGTTCCATAGTCTAGCTATTGTGAATTGAGCTGCTATAAATATTAATGTGGCTGTGTCACTATAGTATGCTGATTTTAAGTCCTTTGGGTATAAACCAAGGAGTGGGATTAAATGGTGGTTCCATTCCCAATTTTCTGAGGAATCTCCATAGTGCTTTCCATAGTTGTTGCACCAATTTACAGTCTCACCAGCAATGTACCAGTGTACTTTTTTCAAAATCCCAATGATATTCTTCATAGAATTAGAAAAAGCAATCATAAAATTTATTTGGATAAATAAGAGACCCAGAATAGCTAAAGCAATCCTTAGCAAGGAAAGTATGGTATTGTTTAAGGTCTGGAGGAGGCATCCTGCATCACAATGGTACCTTAAACTATACTACAGAGCTATAGCAATAAAAACGGCATGGTATTGGCACCAAAATAGACTTGTAGACCAGTGGTGCAGAATAGAGGACACAGAGACAAATCCACATAAATATGGTTATGTCATACTAGACAAAGGCACCAAAAACATTCACTGGAGAAAAGATAGTCTGTTTAACAAATGGTGCTAGTAAAACTAGAAATCCATATGTAGAAAAATGAAATTAAACCGTTATCTCTCACCCTGAATAAAAATCAACTCAAGGTGAATCAAAGACTTAGGCACTAGAACAGAGACTCTGTGCCTAATAGAAGAAAAACTAGGACCAAATCTTCACCACGTTGGCCTAGGATCTGTCTTCCTTAACAAGACTCCTAAAGCACAAAAGTAAAATCAAGAATTAATAAATGGGATGGATTCAAATTAAAAAGCTTTTTCTCAGCAAAGGGAACAATTAATAAAATCAGGAGAGAGTCTACAGATTGGGAGAAAATCTTTACCACATCCACCTCTCATAAGGCATTAATCTCTAGGATATATAAAGGACTCAACAAACACCAAAAAACCCCCCAAATAACCCAATCAATAAATGGGCTCAGGAACTGAACAGACACTTCACAGAAGAAGAAATACAATTGATCAACAAATATATGAAAAAGTGTTCAACATCTCTAGCAATTAGAGAAATGCAAATCAAAACTACTCTAAGATTTCATCTCACTCCTGTCTGAATGGCAATCATCAAGAATACAGGCAACAATAAATGTTGGCGAGATCCATGCTTTAATAGTTCTTTCCATGAATGAACGGCAAAGAGCATTTTGTTCTACTATGCGTCCACCTTTATGCTTCATTTGGGAAACACATTGATCTAGCACATTTGTTAACACCTAGAGTTTATTACAATTTTAAACAAAAATAATTTAAAATAATTAAAAAAAACTGCTCTCCCGAGTTCTCTCTTCTCTTTAGACATAGTCATAGAATAGCAGGAATAATGCGTCAGTGAGATTTGTAATATTTTAGGCAACTGAACACCTAACCAACTGCAATAAAAATGTATTCTTTTTTGTCATCTTTACTATCTAGACTATTAACTGCAATCAGAGACCAAGCAATGTTTTACAAAGCATTATATCAACCTCTGTTCACCTGATAAAACACATGAAACACAATGATTTTTAGCAGTTTTTTTCTTTATGTCACACTGATCTACATACTATTTTATTTTATATCATATTTTCCATTTGAGATTTTGGGGGACATTCGGCTATTGCCATCTGTATAATTTCTCCATCGTTTCCAGGCCCCAAGATAGATCCGCCCCTAAAGTAATCACTAACTTCCATGAGTGACAGGAAGAAGAAATGACCCGGAGTGAGGCAGTGTTGGTAGCTTCAGAGAGTTTATTGGATGCCACGTTGGTGAAAAAAATTTCCCTGTTTAGGGTTTATTCTCCCTGTCATTGAGGTTCTGACTTTAAAAGGCCAAATTTATGCCTCTGTTGTCTCCCGGAGTTTCTGTGATATCACAGAAAGCAAGCACAATGTGTGGCTTGCTCTTGAAGAACCAAGCCACTGTCCAGCAGGATAATTCAAGCATTTTGGGAAAGGATGGTTGGAAGGAAAAGTCGGCCTTGGAGGTTTCTGGATCACCATCATTTCTCCTCCCTCCGCCTTCCCTCACCCTCTGCTTTTTTCCTATTCTCTCATTCCACATACTTTCCTTCAGGGACTGCATACATCTCACGATTTGAAATACAACCTTCATGTTCATACTCACTGAATGAACAGGTGATTTGTTTTTAAATGTCTGGCTCCAGCTTTTTAAATTTATGCACTATTATAATCCCAAGATAACATTTAAGCTCTTTTATACTATATACAATGTCCAGTAATTTAAACATGTACTTATTGAATGATTAAAATAACAAATCTCTTTTTGTCTTTGATAGATCCAACCGAGGTCCAGAGATTGAGTGTCACCCAGATGGGAGACAACAGTTTATCTGTCAAATGTTCACAACCTAAAGAGATAAATGGCCCCAACAATGGAAGCTACTACTTGGAAGTCAAAACTGGAGGTAGTCTCATGGAAAAGAAAGACAAAAAATGTGAATTCTATTTACATAATCTTTACTATTCAACAGAATATGAGTTGAAGGTAAGATCATGCTTTCTATAATAATAATAGTACCAATATATATTTTAGCAATTACTATCTAGTACTTGAACAGCATTAAGATCAGTGATCATGTGAACTCTGATTTCTAATGGAATCACACTTGAAGGAGTTTCAAAAATTTGACTCCAATCTTTTTATCCCTGGAACTGTTAACTATGGCTTAAAGGAAATGTTTTGTTAGAGTATTTTACAACTTCAAAATGATTTGATTATATGGAAATTAGTGCTCATGTGTCAAGAAGTGCTGTCCTTTATGTGCAACACATTATTACTTAGCCAATTTTCTTCTTGACCCTTTTCTTTTTATTAATGTGAATTTTTCAACTGCAAAATTTTATATGCACATGGAGGTTAGAAAATACTAAAAACAAAATTTCAGACGATATTAGTGAGCATCAAAAACTTTTAAATATTCATAATCTCAATGTGTGGATCATAGTTTATGAATATACTTTGAAAATGTACAATGCACATTTCTTTTTTTTTCTTTCTTTTTTGTTTGTGTGTGTGTGCATGTGTTACTGGGGACTGAATCTGGGGATACTCTACCACTGAGCAACTACATCCCCATCCCTTTTTACTTTTTATTTGGAGACAGGATCTAAATTGCCTGGGCTGGCCTTTCAATTCTTCTGCCTTGCCCTCCTGAGCAGCTGAGATTACAGGTGTGGTCCACCATGCCCCACTCCTGTAATGCACATTTTTAATCATTTAACAAGTATAATGTCAACATTCTGAATACAGTTTAGTGAACCATATTTTTCTATTTTATTTAGAGACAAGGTTTCACTGAGTTCTTAGTGACTTGCTGAGACTGGCTTTGAACTCATGGTTCTCCTGTCTCAGCGTCTCATGCCCAGCAAACCATATTTTTCATATGTCATTATATCATGCTCATCTTTCCATGTTAAGTATTTTACTACTATGTAATTTTTAATATATGCTTAAATTATATTACATGATTTATCCTATTCCACTAACTGTATGTTGATCTCTAATATAGACACATCCTGTAAACACACTTATTGGTAATAGCAAAACCTTTGAATGTCTTTAATAATTTCTGTTTGATAAACTTCATGAAATAGATTGGTTGAGCACAAAGAAATTTACATATATTTTAAGATTTGTTTGGACACATATCACCATTTTTTATATTAATGTTTGAAATGGCTGTCTCTTGAGAGTCTCGCCTACACTTTTGCATTTAGCATGTAGAATAAGGTATTTGTGTCTCTTTCTGTTTTAATGAGGATTTTAACTTTCTGTTAAGATTACATATAGTTTTGTTATTGTCCTTATGATAACATATCTTCACCCCATTTGTCTACTTTTTGGGGTAAATTCTTTGTATATTAAATGATATTAAACTCTATGTCATATGTGCTGTTAATTTTGTTTTCAGTTTATAATTTACATTTTAATTTTCTTCACAGCCCTTAGTGTCTTATGCAATTTTATGTTTAAACAGATACATCACTTTTATTCCTGTTAAATGGAAATTTCTACAATTAACTAATAAGAAGTTGATCATTGGCTTCATAACTTTTGTCATTTGAAGTATATTTTTATATTGATAATTTTTTTTGGTTATTTTTATCCAGAAACATAAATTGGAGTTTTATCAAAGTAATTTTTAAGGCACGAAATGTTCTTTGCCATTCATTCCTGGAAAGAAGTATTAAAGCATGGAACTTATCTCCTGCTTGGGTTTGAAATTCACACTTTGTAGCACTTCCATTATGTTGTGATACCATGGTGTGATTTCTTTACATGGTGAATTACAGTGGGAGATATAATGCTACACCATCGTCATATTCCAAGGGAGGTGGGAATCTCTCCTTTGTCATTGTATATTCTTCTTCTAAAATATTACAAATAAATTGCTTAATATTTTATAGTCTTTATGAATGGATTTTCCTAAAGTGAATCCCATTCAGTAAGCAAAGAAAGAGAGTATTGGCACAGCTGCGGGGATGCACTGTGCTTGTTGCAGCTATATATAAAAGTTATGCTAAGGGATAAAACGCCCTTGAGATATTTTCCCTTTTTCTGTTTTATGATTTTTTTATAGTATAGGAATAATTTTTTTCTCTGAAAAATTTATTTACATATATTTACTAAGAAAAAAATTCTTTGAGAACCACTTATGGATTCTTTTAATATGATTATTCTTTTCTGATTTTTTTAACCTTTTTGAGTGAGTGTATGTATATTTTTTTCAAGAATCGTCCATCTAAAAGTAACATGTTGTTGTTACCATAATAACATGTACATTCACAGGCATTTTCCATTGCCTCATTAGTGCCCAGCAAACTCCTGGCATGCTGGTCTTAGTTTCTCAAATGCACCCAAGTTTTATTCTCTGTAAGCTCCTTACGCCATGCTCTTCTCTCTTCTTAGAATTATCTTCTCCTACTCTTCAAGTATTATAAATTATTCTGGATATAGGTGAACATCATATTAGCATATAATCTTACTATCCAAATCCCTTTCTGCACTCTGCAAAAGGCTACCTTTTGTTTTCTTCATTGCACTTACCTTAACTTGTTTTCATGTTTATTTCTGTCTCTACTACCACATTTAGACCTCTGTGAGGGAGCAATTATATTAGCTTTATTTAGCTTTGTTAACAAATTAATAGCATTGTTTTTATTATTCTTAATTTTTATTTTCATTGTTCATATATTCATTTGGGGGTTCTTCTGGTAGGTTTTGGATCAAAAGTGTTTATTCCCCCACCATTATATATCTTTTCTTTTCTGTTATTTTAAAAGAGATTAAGGCTATAAATTGTCCCTTGGTAAGTTTTTGACTGTGTTCAAAACTTATGTCTATATTGTTTGTCACTGATTTCTGATGTCTGCATAGAAAATATAATGAATGAATGCTTAAATTAGAGTATTCTGATTTCTACTAATTTCTAAAGAATCTGTGATTGCAAGTTTTTAATTAAGAGACTGTTTCTACATTTTTGGTGCTTGCATTTTTTTATTATTGGTAATTATCAGTTATGATAGATAATTGAATTTTATGCTCCCTGCCTTTGGAATTGATAGAATTTTTTTTACAGCTCAATATAGGATAAATGTGAATGTACTATGAATACTGGGAAATCATCTAATTTTCTATAGAATCAAAGGCTGATTATATATTTGCCATATTAAACATTTACCATTAATCCCTTTTGAGGCATTATTCCAATCTATTTTACGTGAGATTTTATTGTGCCAAGATTATCATTGCTTCTTTACTCTTTCAGTTTCCCTGTACATCTTCATTGTTTTTCTTTATTTGTACTGAATATTATGAGATATAGGTGTTTGTGTTAGTTATGTCTCTACTCTATATTCTATACTGTATTCATTTACCCTTAAAAAGTAAGTGCATTTTATGTACAACTCTTATTAATAGCATATGGTTAAATTTCCCTTTTTAAAATAAAATATGAAGATATTAGCATTCTGATGGTAATTTTAATGCTAATGGTAATTTTAATGTATTAGATTTTATTTATTCAACCATTTTTATTTATTTTCACCGATTATAAGTTATTATCATTGCTAAAAATAATCTTTCTTTCTATCTTTTTGACTGCCTTTTCAAAAATGTTTGACAACAAAATATTGGCATGATCTTCAAGTTTCAACTTTAAAGCATATTAGCATATTTTAAACAAAAATAAACAGCTTTATACATTTACATGAAAAACTAAATTATTATTTTTTTTATTACTGACATTTAGGTCTACTTCAACAATGGAATACTTTCTGGAAAGCCTGTTATTAAGCATCATTCAACATCTTGTAAGTTATTACTAGTTTATTCTATCTTACAAAAGTATATTGCTTTGCAATCAAACTTACATTTAATTTTTGAATGATTAAATTAGACATTTAAATAAATATAATATCTTAAGTTGTCAGGGTAAATACATATAGGTAAACATCATATTCAAATGCAATATCATAAATTCAAACTAGAAAATACAATTAAAGGATTATTGCTTTCTTAAAATAATCTGTAAGATGAATTATCAACTAAGAATATTAAATTATGATAATGTTTGTGACATTTATGCATGCTAATAACTTTGTCCTGTGTACAGTTTTAGAGATTGTGCCTCTTTTGTTTTTTCTTCTGTTCTTTATTCTGTCCCTTAAACATGGCTTTTCAGAAGTGGGCCTTAGATGCACATCTCTCCTGATTTGCCTTATTGAAGATAAGCATTCCCTAATAACAATATCTCTGTTTAAATATTTATCATAAATATTTTAATCATAGTAAAGGTGCACATGGAACAAATACCTCAAATAAATTTCATTATATAATAATAATAATAATAATAATAATAATAATAATAATAATGATAATAATAATAATAGTAACAGCTGTATGTCACATTATCTGCCTGGTGTTTACCTCTCCAGAATAACCACTTTGACTATATGTCTATTTGCAGTTTTCCTTATAATTTCCTTCATATATCAGCAAACAATATTGTGCATTCTCTATCTAGAGTGACTAACTCAATAGACATTTGCCTGTTTTCTGTCCTGTGGTTACCTTCCACAGCGTGTGTTCTCTTCACCCTTGAGACTCAGATATTCTGAGTGATTGGTCTCTATCCTGTTCATCAGGTTAGCTGGTGGCTTCCTCTGCTTTCTTTTCTAATTTCCAAATGTAAAATTTCTTTGCCTTTTATTTCCCTTTGTCTGTCATCCTCTCTACCGTTATGGATGGATGCATTTTGCAGAGTTCCTGGAAAGAAGGTAGAAAATGTGTGTTTAGACCCCACAGAATATATCTGAAGATTTGGCTTTTTTTAAAATAAATAAGTTTATCAAAGCCAGTCTGATGCTACTTAATATTCTTGTAGAACCCATTATAATTAACTATAATGGATCAGAATACTAATTATACTCATTTGATGCAATTTCTTGCAAAATTTTCACTTTGAGGTTTCTACTTTGCTAGTAACATAGTTTCAAATTAATAATTTACTTGAGGAAGATGAGATTTGATTGTATTCTGAATACATGTTATCCACAACTGGCAACAATATTGATATTCATGTATGTGGCATATACATACACATATGTATATACATATGTTATGCACACATGTATGTACATGTGCTATGTGTGTATGTATGTGTGGATGTATGCATGCCACTAACCACTGGTAAGGATGGACATTTTTAGGGAAAGGAATTTGAGATATAGACAGGACAAGGAACATTTTGGGTCACTTTAAAAGTCTATTCTAATAAGAACTTCCTTAAAAACATTCAATATCATCCACTCATATTTATATTCATCTATCTAACCATTTTTAGATGTGTAGCTAGTATAAATAACCTTTTAAAGCGAATAAAAATAACTCCTATTTTACTGACAAGGAAACTTAAGACCTCCACTAACTATATACTACATAGGATCCATCTCCTTCCTACCACCCCACTGACTTTTTGTCCAGTGTCTATTTTCCCCTGTGAGAATGCAGACATTTTTGGAACTGGTACTTTACCTGCCTTATGTTGTAGTATTTTCATCTTGACAGACTTTATCATTTTTACACTCTTTTCTATTTGCTTATTGATTTTCTTTATTATTTAATTATCTTTTTCCTCACTAGAAAGAATTGTCCATGAGAACAGGTAGCTTTGTTTTGTCTTCTGAAATATCTCTTTAGAATTTTAAGTTTTAAGTTAAATTTATTTTTAGTAGGTGCATTAAAACATAAAAATTATATATAATTGGGTACCGTTCATATATGTACACATTGGATAATGTAAAATCACGTGAAACATCTACTTGTAACACATTTGTCATATATTTATACTTGAAAACTTTAAAAATCTTTTCTCCTAGCTCTTTGAAATGTGCAGTTATTATGATCTCTAGCCACACTACTATGCAATATAGCACACAGAATTCTTGTTCCTGTGTAACTGTAACCTAGTACCCATTGATAAACCATTCCTCAGCTCACCCTCCCTCCTGTTCCCTAACCTCTGGTCATTACCAATCTGCTCTCAACTTTCATGAGACTAGTTTTTTTATTAGATTCTATGTATGAATGAAATTATGTACGTCTTGTCTTTCTGGGCCTGTTTTATTTCATTTAACATAATGACCTCCTGTTCCATCCATGCTGTCACAAATGATGAGGTTTCACTCTTCTTATGGATGATCATACACCATTGTGCCAAGATACCACACCTTATCCACTCATCAATTGATGGAGGCTCTGATTCTTTCCATTTCTTGGCTGTTGTGAATAGCACTACTATAAACAAGGGAGTGCAAATGTCTCCTAGACACACTGTTTTTATTTCCTTTGGATATATATACCCAGTAATGGGTTTGCAGTATCATATAGTAGTTCCAATTTTAATTTTTTGAGAAACCTGCATCTCATTTTCCATGAATCTTCTAATTCACATTCCCATTGACAGCGTGCAAGGGTTTTCTGTCCTCCACATCCTCCCAGACTGTCATCTTTAGTATTTTTAACAATATCCATTACCATTGGAGTGAGGTGATATCTCATTGTGCTTTTCATCACATTTCCCTCATAATTGGTTTTTTTAAACTTTTTTTCATACATACATTAATCATTTATATGTCTTCTTTTGAGAAATATCCATATGTTGCCCATTTTAAATAAGATTATTCATTTCTAATTTTTTTAAATTTTTTGCTACTGAGTTTTTGGAGTTTCTTATATATTCTAGATATCAACCACGTGTCATTCATATAGTTTGCAAATATTTTCCCCCAACTCTGTAGGTTCTTCACTTTACTGATTGTCTCCTTTGCTGTACAGAAGCCTTTTATGTTGATATGGTCCTACTTGCCCACTGTTTCTTTTGTTTCCTCTACTTTGGGGATCTTGTCCCCCAAACAGTCCCTACCCCTTCCAATGTCCTGAGTGTTTCCTTTTGTTTTCTTCTAGTAGTTTAATAGTTTTATTTCTTTTATTTAGGTATGTAATCTATTTTCAGTTGATTAGTGTAAATGGTGAGAGATATAGGTCTAGTTTCATTCTTCTGCCTGCTGATATCCAATTTTATCAGCACTATTTATTGAAAAGATTGTCCTTTATCCAATGTGAGTTGTAATTACTAAGCACCTTTGTCAAAAAAGCAGCTTGGTGTAGGTTTACATCCAGGCTGTCTATTTTGGTCTAGAGGTCTGCGTTTATGCCAACACTATGCAGACTATTATAGCTTTGTATTTATTTTGAAGTCAAAGAAGGTAGTGTCTCCAGCTTTGTTCTTTTGGGTCAAAAAATGACTTTGTCTATTTGGGGATTTTTGCGGTTCCACAAAATTCTAGAATTATTTTTTCCAGTTCTGTGAAGAATGTCATTGGTATTTGAACAGGAACTACCTTGAATTTGTTCATTGCTTTTGGTAGTAAGGACATTTTTAACAGTGTTCATTCTTCTCATATACAAACAAGGGCTGTTTTTCTTTTCTTTTGTTTTGTTTTTTTCTAATGTCTTTCATCAATGTTTAATAACTTTTATTGTAGTTATTCTTAGCAGTATTTACTCCTAGGTATATTGTTTTATAGTTTACTTTTTACATTTACTTATTTATATATTTGAGATGGGCTTTCTCTGTGTTGTCCAGGCTGGTTTCAAACTTACTATTGTCCTTGCCTCAGCCTCCGGAGTAGCTGGAATTACAGGTGCATGCCACCATATCTCACCTGTAGCAATTTTAAGTGGGATTGGTCTCTTAATTTTTATTTCAGAAAATCTACTATTAGCATGTAGCAGTGCTACTGATTTTTTGTCAATTTTATATTCTGTGTTGTGACATATCTTAAGTATCTAGAAAAGTGTTCATAGAACATTATAGTATGCTGTTTTAAGTCCTTTGGGTATGTTATTTCCTTTTAAATATAAATGCTTTTATTGACTTTAAATAATATAGCAAAAATCACAAGATCAGACATCTACTTATTGTATCTGGTCATATTTGAGAATTTTTAGTTTATAAAGCTTCATGACAATGAAAAATATATACATTCTCTGAAGATTGTTATTCAGGTAATCAGGCAAAATATTTGACATAATAACCTCTCCTCGTGTTATTTCTTATTTCTAGATAATTCTAAAGCACTGATTGCCTTTCTGGCATTTCTGATTATTGTGACATCAATAGCCCTGCTTGTTGTCCTCTATAAAATCTATGATCTGCATAAGAAAAGATCTAGGTAAGAACTGATGTATGAATTAAAAATAATCATGGTAGAAATAGCCATGCAAGCTCATGTCCGTAAGGCAGTCATGGACCCAACTAAATAAATATGTGAATGGAAGAAAACAGCATGGAGTACAGATCATGACTGACACTGGATTGAAGTCATTGTTATGGGTGTTATTGGTTTATATTAAGTATTCATATTTTTTACATTTGCAAATAATGTTATGGGTTTGCTTGAATTACAGCCAGTGGAAAGAATATGTGTCTGTTCTTTTAGGACAAAGTGGATCAGAGAGAATGAAGAGTGGCAAAGGCAAAAGAAAGGAGGGAAATAGTTGGGGACATGTACTTATTTCTTTGGCCAGGAAAAATGATATTTTATGAAAAACAGGAGCATTAAAATCAACTCTTTTGGTCACATTCCATAGTTTAGCAGATATTTCTTGGTTGTTTTATCATCCCTCATTTTTTTCTTTACTCCTCTCTCCCAATTACTTTCTCACCTCTCTTTTCATCTTCTCTGTCCTCCCTCCATTCCCATCTCCTCTCTTCCTTCATCCCCTCCTCTTTTTCCCTCTCTTTTCCATCTTTCTTGTATTCATTTCTTTCTTACTTCAATGCATTCATTAAATAAAATTCACTCAGTTGAATTGAATGCCAACTGAATTCAGTGTTTCTTAAGATCATAGACATTCGTATTTCTTATTTTCACAGCAATTTAGATGAAGCACAGGAACTTGTTGAGAGGGGTAAGTATGCTTATTTTTTACTTATGAATATGCTTGCCCTTTCATTTGAGTCCATTTATTTTTTAAATAAGAACTAGGAAATTTTTAGTTTAACCTGGACTTCTTCTGTTGATACAATGATGAAACTTAAATCCAATTGTTCTATAAGCAAGCCTCTATGAAGTTCCTAGTGTATGCCAAATGCAAGGCACTGAGAATTCCACAGGGATGGGCCACAGACTGCTCTTGAAGGGTTTCGAATCTAATATATGAAGACAGGTGTATTGACAAATAGGACAGTGATTTGATAAATGCTATAGTTACTGAATATATATGGGTCTACACAAAGATAGAAGACAGAAACCTGCTTGTGGGGAAGGCAGGGATCTGGTCTGTAAAGATCCTGAAAAGCACTAGATGAACAGATGAGGAAGGAGGAGGGGTGGGAGAGCAGAAGGCAGGTCACAGAGACAAGGAGGAGATCAGTGTCCTGAGGTCCTTGGCAGAGTGGGATGATGGCTGTTCCCACTAAAGGCACAGTTAGGGACAGGACACAGAAGAGCAATTTGATTTAGGAGAGGAAAAAAAATTCCTTTTTTTGTCAACTTTTAAATTACTTCTTTAGTTAAAAAAATCATGATCCTGTAAAAAGAGATGGAATTTAAAAAATTGAAGCTATGCTTACAGTAATGAGTGCTTTTTTTTTTTTTTTTCTCTCTCTTACTCAAGACAGGCAGACCTTAGAATACCTCTCTTGAGTTACATTTGAAGGGCTTCTTCCTTGTAACAGCAGGTATCAAGGCTATGTGCAGAAGCATGAGGGCTGCTTCTCTGGAGGTCCCTTGTTGTTAACTTTGTTTTCTTTTGCAGAATATGTTAATATCTGACTGTGTGTGTTATTAATTCATTCGTTTGTTTATTATCTTCTCTCACTAGAATGTAAGCTTTGGAAACACAGGGAGGTTTTTCTTTCTCTTCACTGCTCTATCCCAGCACCTGGAATTCAACACATACTAATGAATAAATGAATCAACAGGATAGCATGTCCTGAGAGTTAGTTTTGATAGACTGAGGAAGAATTAAGAGCACAGGAGCAACAGCATCTGAGCAGAGGAGGAAAATTCATTTTAAGGAGTTAAGGCAGATTGGAAAGGGAAATTTATCTCAAAATTAATAGTGATTGCACCATAGAGTGTACTAGAACTTATACACCTGAACTTCATAATCCCCTGAGAGTGGTCTTCAGTTCAGAATGAGTGAATATACTCATGATCCCAGCAACCCAAAGAAGCAACAGCATGTGGTCATTTTGATACTGTGATGGATAGAAGGTTTCTATGGACCATAAAAATAATGTGACACTCTCATGGACAACTTTTCTTCATCTTTAAATGGAGAAAATTAACATGAGTACTAAAATAAGGATACCTAACAGGACATGGAAAAGTAATAGAAACATAGTTTTTATATTATGTTAAAACATAGTATGACCATGTTTCATGTTCTAGAGGCACAATAAATGAATATAACTTGTTTCATAGTCTAGTGTAAATAGACAATAAAACTAAACTGAGTAGTGGGTAGAAGGGTATTAATCAAATTTTCTTGTTTAATTTGCATAATTACAATATTTTAGAATAAGTTAAAATGAAAATAAAAAGAAAAAATAGTTATAATGTAATCATCTTAATTACTATAAAATACATGAAATTACATGGATATATGGGTGTCCTAACAATGGTGATATTTAGTTTGAGATCTTTTCTGTAGGAATAGAAAGTATTCTAGTAGAATACTAGAAAAGCTGTTCTAGTAGAGAGAACAATATGAAGCCCAAAGGAAGACTGAAACACAAGATTTGAAAGATATTGATTTATTGGTGAATGTTTATATGTGAGTGAGGTTTTCCGGGCAGCCTGTTTGTGAGAAGGAAAGACACTAAGAGTAAAGTCTTAGATGCAAATTTGTGAATGTGTATGCACATTTAAAAGACAGACATAACATTAGACTTGAATCTTTAATATGTTTATAGATGATGAAAAACAGCTGATGAATGTTGAACCAATTCATGCAGACAATTTGTTGGAAACTTATAAGAGAAAAATTGCTGATGAAGGACGACTTTTTCTCGCTGAATTTCAGGTATGGGTTACCCTTGACATAGGATAATAAAATTTTGAATGTATTTATCTAAACATTTGTTTTAATAATGTATCCCGCATACTACTCCAATATGATCAAGGCAGATATTATTAGTAGATATTTATAGACCAGATGAAATGTTAACAAGATTATAATATGAAGTGAGTAAATATTTTGGTATAATCCTTTATTGTATTATTATCAAATATGAAGTCATGTCACAAAACATATTTGGCTGATTTATACTTGTACTGTAGCTATTTATTCAAGCATCTGTTTTTAAGTGAATTTCAGAGTGGTGCATCAACTAATTCTGAATTTTGTCTTACTCATGAAGTTTGTTCTGAAAATAATTCATCATTCATTTTTAATGTTTTGCATAACTCCTAATAATGTTAGTCTTAATAATCATATCTGACATACTTATCAGTATAAAGAAAATAATTGACATGATGTCACATTAACTCAATACAATAACTGGTGAAGGTAAATTTCTTTTCCCAAATCTTCTCTAACCCAAAGAACATTTGTGTCTTTCAGAGCATTCCACGGGTATTCAGCAAGTTTTCTATCAAGGATGCTCGAAAGCCTTTCAACCAAAATAAAAACCGTTATGTTGACATCCTGCCTTGTGAGTCCTCATTGAGAAATGAATTTTTATATATTTAAGCTGTTCAATTGCTCATTATTTCACTTGTTTCTTTTCTTTCCTTTAAACAGATGATTATAACCGTGTTGAACTCTCTGAAATAAATGGAGATGCAGGGTCAAACTATATTAATGCCAGTTATATTGATGTGAGTAAGAATATGAAATTGTTTTATATTGTTGTCATCATTGACAGTTCAAATTTTTCGTATGTTTATGCATTCTGTTCAGTTTCTTCTTTGTCTTTGTAAAGTTTTATAAAATTTATTAGAAATATTTTGAAGTAAGCCAGGTCACAGATGTGAACAGTCTCACTAATATTTATAAGAGTAGTTCTTGATTATATTCCTGTTGGTGTCAGATGTAACATAAGATTTTCCTCTTTGTGAAACAAAATTATACTACAAATTAATATACTATGATGCCTATTATGTGCTGGATAGTAAAATAAATGACCTAGCATATATTCATCATAAGAACCCCACATTTGCCCAGCCATCTGCACTATGCTAGGTGTGTAAATGAGGACCAAGAAGCTGACATTAGTTACCTTGTGCTTGTTCACACAATCACAAAGACTTGAGATTCAGCTTCAGTTAGCCTGACTCCACATTGCTTCTGTTATGTACACTACATTGTACCTGCAACATTCTTAATTGACATCCATACTCTGTCCACTGAATTTATCCAAAAATGAAAATATCTATACATGGTAAATTTCTGAAAAATATTTTAATATTTCCATTAATCATATCATTGTAAATAAGTAATGCTTTACATGAGTTAAATAATTTTAAACAGTACAAAAACATTATAAACTGAAAAAACTCTTCTTACCCAATCTACCATTTGCCGAATATCTCCATCCACCAGAAGAAATAACTTCTATATTGGCTTTTTATTTATCCATCAAGAGGTTTTTATATATATAATTAAAGCACCAACATATATTACCATCCATTTATGTGAAAATGTAAACACAATAGTCACACTGTTCTGTATCTTGCTACCTATATAACTCTCTATCTGGGATTTATATGATATCATTGTAAATAACAGGGTCAGCAACTTTTCCTATGAGGGAGCCAGACCAAAAATAGTTTTGACTTTGTGGAGCATTTTTACATCTAGCTATTTTTATAGTGATTTGCAGTATAACTGCATTGAGGTTTATTTTATCAGTTCCTAATTATCAGGCATTAAATGTGGTTTCTTAACTTCTACTACTAATAACAATGGTATAATGAATCATATGAACTCTTATTTTTCCAAAAGAGTTTCAGTGTATCTGTAGGATAAATTTCTGTTAGAATTGCAGGGACAAAAAAAAACACCATAGAGAATTGCAATTAAAAAGAAAATTCTAAATGGCTCTCTAGAGGGGTTTTACAGTTTATAATCCAGCAGCAACATATGAACATGCTCAGGTCCATATAGCCTTGACAAAAGAACGTGCTATAGAAAGGTTTGACAACTCAATAATTTACCAAATATATTTTACGCTGTTATGTATGCTGATTTATAAGGTAATTCCCCAGATTCTTAAAAAGAAAAAAATAATTCAGCTGTTTGTTGTTGTTGTTGTTGTTTATATTGCTATTGCTGTTGGACCACTTGAATATATAAATGTTTAGTAAAGACTCAAATTTCAAATTATGCTTATATATTTTGGCAGTGCATTAGGCAGTTTGTACAGCAAATTAGATGGCTTAAAACAACAGAAACTTATTCTCACACAGTTGTGGAGGTCAGATACCTGAAAATAAGGTGTCCATAGAATCATACTCCCTCTGAAGTCTCTGAAAGAGCCTTCCTTGCCTCTTCCTAGCTTCTGGGGGCTGCTGACAATCCTTGGCATTCCTTGGCTTATGGTTGTATCACTCCAAACTCTGCCTCTATCCCAAGGCCTTCTTCCCTGTGTCTCTAGTCACTGTATGGATGTCCTTCTTCTTTCTCTTATAAGAATGCCTGTCATTGAACTTAGAACACAACCTTGTTCAGTATGACATCATTTTAACTCTTACATTCATAAAGATACCATTTCCAAATAAGGGCACATTCTGAAGAGCTGGTGACATAAGTTTTGGAGAAACACAGTCCTGTCCACTGTTTTGTAATCATGTATAATTATAGAATAACTTGGAAATGTTTTCTAGACACATCACTCATCTTCAACCTCTGAGCCTTGGTCACTAATCAAGTTACTTTTTGATATATCTAGTGATTTTCCAGGGCTAAATTATTCACATCAGTGATGATGATGACTATTATGATTATAATAATATGATTTATACAAATTTTCTATTTATCAGTTATTATATAAGTGCTTTATGTGTATTAATTCAGTTAAATATCACAACTCCAAAAGATGTTCTCTACTTTGCTAGTAGAATCATCTGGGATTCTCCCCTTAGCCCCAAGCATTCTGTCCCTAGAGAGAGCACCCTAACCTTTGTTTCCCTCCATTTTGTTTGATATACAACAGCTTTAATATCCTTGTTTGCTATTGTCCCTGGAAATCCATCTTAGTCTACAAATAACCCTTCCCTTAACCTGTCCTCATGATATCCACAATGAAATCTCTTATTCTGTCTTTTTAATATAATCCTTAAAATATTTATTTTTAATAGCAGCCAACACTTTTTGCAAATGTTAAGTCATAGTCCAAAGAATAACTATTAGTTCTATGTCATATGTTTCTTACCTCTATTTGAACTGATTCTGTAAGATGAGCTCCACAGACCTTCCCAGTTAGCACTAATCAAATTTATTTTACATATGGTGTTTTTTTACAAATAATAATTTGTTATTCAAAGTAAAATACTTGAGAGCAGATCTGCTAAGACTTCACAAGAGCTTAGATGATCTCTAGGAAAAAACAAAAACCCCCAAAACACCTGGCACTTTCTGTTCAAATATATATGGCCACTATGGTATCAGATTGTATTTACATTTCCTCAACACAGCTAGGAGCTCCCAGAAGCATGCTTCTTCAGCTTTTAGATTGGTACTTGACATATAGTAGCCATTCAATATTTGTTGAATAAATGAACATGACTAATACTGTACTATGAGAAGCTACTAAAATTGACATGAATTCTTATAGTTTTTGTGCAAAAGTTCATTCAGTAGCAAACTTCATCTCTTTCTATGAAGCTTTTCTCATTGAGGTAAATGAGATAAAGATAAAACTAAAGAGTCTGAGATAATTTTGAAAGAAAGTATCATGTTTTATCTACTTCTGTGCTCCCTTTTTTGTTTTAGGAACAGGAGCAGAGAAAGCAGACATTGTAGGTAATGAAATAAAAGTGATTGCATCACTTATCTGGAATTGCATAAAAAGACTCCAGGGAATCAGCAGCATATTTCAACAATAGTTAAGAGGTAGAAGTGTAGAGGGCAATTCCAGAGGGATTTAGACAAAGAATTGGAGTACAAATCTGAAAAGTAACTACATGGCTGGTGAGAAGGCTGTAAAGGTTCACAGGATTTAAACTATAATAACTGAATTATGCTCACGAATTGTTGTATTATCCTAGGTAAGAATGAAGTCAAGTTTTAAAAAGTGTTTGCTGTATACAGCAAAATACATGAAAGTCATGAGTAGTATTTGCAAATGCTAACTAATCCACTTGGCACAGTTAAATGACTGATCACATATTAATAAAATTTCCTTAATAATTTGAAAATGCCCTGGGAAATCTTTAACCAACAAATGGCAAATCTAAAGCAATTTTTTCTAATTCAGAATATTGCATGGTGGCACATGCCTGTAAACTCAGCAAGTAGGGAAGCCAGCCGAGGCAGGAAGAGCTCAGGTTTGAAGCCAGCCTCAACAATTTAGTGAGATTCTAGGCAACTTAATGAGACTCTGTCTCATAATAAAAAATAAAAAGATCTGGGAATATGGTTCAGTTGGTTAAGTGTCATTGGATTCAATCCCTGTTAACAAAACAAAATAAAAAAAGAAATAAAAAAGGAATTTTGCATGTTAATGAATAATGGAGTATTTAGTAAATGACATATTTTGTGTGTTTTTTGAACAGGGTTTCAAAGAGCCCAGGAAATATATTGCTGCACAAGGTAATTTATTTGATAGTCCTATATTATTTTTGGAAATTTATTTTATAACGCTTTAAAAAGTATCTCTCTTAACTTGTATTTTTTTTTTAATCTCCTAGGCCCCAGGGATGAAACTGTGGATGATTTCTGGAGGATGATCTGGGAACAAAAAGCCACTGTTATTGTCATGGTCACTCGATGTGAAGAAGGAAACAGGGTAAGAACCTACAAGTTTCACAGGATGGTGGTTGGAATTGCATTTTAAAAAGCCATATTTTTGTGCTGCTGACTAAAATAGAATTCTTTCTATTTTAGTAGTGCTAACATTTGATTTGAATTCTCATACATGCAGAAAAATAAAATTTGTACATATGTAAATGTATTCCTAAATTTATGACATTTAGATGTTTTGATTTAATTACTGGACTTTTATTTGGTTCCTGTTTTTTTTTTTCTTTTTCTTTTTTTTTCCTTAGCATTGTTCAGAACCTTGAAAAGTGTTAACTTCCCAAGTACTAGTGAATACTCAAACTGACTTTGAGTAGATAGGTGTTAAATCATATAATATGACTTCAGAGGAATAAAAGCCTTTTGGTTTCCCAGCCAATAACTGACCACAATGAATCACATCTTTTTGCTGACCACTGAGCATGCCCTCTTTTTAAGGGCAGCTAAGACTCAGAATATCGACCTTCTGCTATGTAGTCTAAAGTCCTTCTGAACACCTGGATGGGAAACAGTGCATTTCAGACACCACAATTTTAGGTGTATATGTGCTTAACAAAGAATTTGTAAATATTGTGAGAATTTGGGATAAATAATTTTGGGGTTTTTGTTTTATTAAGAGTGTATAGTAAAATTTTGTTTAAGTGAAAAACTGGAATCACTAATGATTTTTTAAATATAGAACAAGTGTGCAGAATACTGGCCGTCAATGGAAGAAGGCACACGGGCTTTTGGAGATGTTATTGTAAAAATATATGAGCACAAAAAATGTCCAGATTATATCATTCAGAAACTGAGCATTACAAATGTGAGTATGTTTTAGTAAATGATTTTTGGTTTGATATTGCTTTTATAAAATTTAATTATGAGCTATTAAATGTGAGAAATTGAAATATATCTGGGAAAGTTGTCTTTTACTGACATCTAGGAGGAAGGGTTAGGTTAGAACAAGAATACAAGTTGATAGGTCAAATTTTAGCCATGGGTCAAAGACAGGTTTGCCCATGTCAAATCAAAAGTATCTAATATGATGGACTCCTGAAGTACTTTAGAAAAAGAAGGTTCCATTAAGTATGTTAAATAAATGATTATATTATTAAATTAATAAATAATCCTGAATGGATTGTTACCATTATGGAAAGAATACTTAGACAAACTGCATAATTAGAGAGCAGTACATGGAGTATAAATTCTAAATATATAGTAGAGAGAGAGGTTTAGTTTGGTAATAGATAAAATGGAGGTCAACATACATATTATATAATTGTATTTACATATAAATTCCAGATAGGTGTGCAGATAAAATTAGAAAGTAGATTAGCAGTTGCCTCCAGCTGAGAGGGTTGGAATGGGGAGCAGCAGCTAATGGGTGTAGGCTTTCATTTTGTGCTGACAAAAATGTCCTATAATTAGATACGGGTGATGTACCAATCTGGAAATATAATAAAAACCCTTCAAATGAATGGTGTATATGATGGATGGAATATACTTTAATAGTGCTATTTTAAAAATGTAGATCTTTCATGAGAGGTTGAAATTTTCTCTGAATTCCATTTGTTGGAGGTCTTTCAGTAATCTATTTTTTATTTCTATATAGTCCAAATACATTTTTCTTCTACAGGAAAAAGAAAACTTATTATGTATTTCTCCCAAGGCCCTCTTGGCTCCTTTTGCATTACTGACTGCTTTGCATTTGAAGGCTGTGAAACAATTCTGCCAATGATTCATGGCTAAATACATGATTGACAGAGCCACATAGGCCCTCAATCCATAAACATAGGCATTTACATACACATTGATGGCATTTATGTAGACATCAAGGCCCATCTGGTTATCGTGATTACTCTGGGATTACTATTCTTAATCAGCTCAGTTATGTCCTATTGAAAAATTACAAACAGCATAATTTTTCTTTTTCTTTAACTTGATGATTCTACTTTTGGAGGGCTTAAGGAATACAGTCAGATTTTCTACATGTGAGAAATAGTCCTGTTTGCTGCTCTACCAAGCAGAAGAATTTTAAACACCTGTGAGAGTGACATTTAGTAGATTTTTTTTCACACAAATCCCCACCTTGACTCCTAGCCACCCCCACCCCTTGATTTTTTGGTGTGTGTTTATTTTTGCTTTTTTGGCTTTGTAGCATGAAAGTGCCTAGGAGTTTCAGCTCTGTTTACCTTACCTCACTTCACTGGTAAGTTTCTGCTTACTGGGTAGTGCATGAACATCCTGCATGAGCTTTCAACTACTAGTTATTAATTGGAAAGGGAAAAGCATTCATGGCTGAAAAAGCTTACTGTTCACCTGAGGAAAAGTCTCTGGAGCAGTTTACATTTGCATGAGGAATTTTTCCTATGGGTCCTTCCTCCCACTTATTCATGTTATATGGTTTACTGTGAAAACAAAATCACCTTAAGAGAAAAATTTTACCTTTTGACTAGAAAAAGGAGAAAACCACTGGACGAGAGGTGACACACATTCAGTTTACCAGTTGGCCAGACCACGGGGTGCCTGAAGATCCCCACCTGCTCCTCAAACTGAGAAGGAGAGTGAATGCTTTCAGCAACTTCTTTAGTGGCCCCATTGTGGTACACTGCAGGTAAACAGAGACTCCTGTAGCAGCCAGGGGTCTGTGGGTCTGTTAAGTCCCGAGTTAAAGATGTCCTCTCCTTGGGTAATTCCTGTTTGGGGAAAGAATCTTTGCTGCATGTAACTTATATTCTTTTTTGAAAAAAAATTTTTTGTATATTGCCAAGTTATAATTGTATAAATTCAGGGGTATGAAGTATGATATTGTGATTTCTGAACACAGTAGCAAGGGCCCTGAATAGACCTTTTTCAACAGAAGCTTAGGTTCTTATCTCTGCTTCATGCTTGATGGTTCTCCACTCATTTCCTCATCATGATCCTGTCTCCACTTTTTTTAATGGTTTTGTCAGTGCTGGTGTTGGGCGCACAGGCACCTACATTGGAATTGATGCCATGCTAGAAGGGCTGGAAGCAGAGGGCAAGGTGGATGTTTATGGTTATGTCGTCAAGCTCAGGCGACAGAGGTGTCTCATGGTTCAAGTGGAGGTACGTTCTAACATATGCTCACTTTTGTTTTTGAACTTAAATTATTTTAGGGAAACAGAATGGTATAAAAAGAAATCTAAATTTGTCATACCTTCAAATAAATTAAAATTTTTTGAAAATTAAATCAAGTGGCAACCATTTTGTTATGCTTAAGAGTTCTGTGGAAGAAAGATGACCATAGAATATGTGTATTTTTTAAAATAATGAAATACTACCTACTAATATCAGACCAGGGAAGAAATAAAAGCATTGAAAACAGATTGGTGACAAGTCATAGAATTAAAAACAAGGAGACAGTATTAGTGATTAAGAGCCTGGTTTATTAAACTAGACTTCCAAAGTTCAATTCCTACCTCTAATTTTTAATCCCATACACCTCTGGACAAGTGTTTAATGTTTCTGTGCGTCACTTAAGTCATCCATAAAATGAAGATCAAGGTGGTACTTACGGCACAGATTTATAAAGAAAAAGGAAATACAAGTGAAGCACTTAGACAAGTTTGTGGCATATGCTATGCATTCGGTGATTTGGATCATAAGTTGTTACTGAAAAATGTCTGTAGTTGACCTGGCAATTGCATCTGTATTGTGTATACCAAAGTGCAGCAATTGAAAATGTGCATTACTAAAAACAGGTGCAGGACTGTTCCTTGCATTCAACATTGGTAGAAAAGCACAACAATAGAAACACTTGAACTAGATATTAGCAGGGGAGAGGGAAAGCAGTAGTGGACTTTGTATAGCAAATGCCAGGCTGCAGTTAGAAGAAATCTAGATCTGTATCTATCTATGTGAATGGATGCTTAGATGGAAATAGGGAGTGAATAAAGTCACCAAATGAAGCACAGAATATGATTTTTGTGATCTTAAAATCATAAAAATATATACAAGGTCTATGTGTTCATAGATAGATAGATATCAAGAAGAAGTATAAAAATAGATTGTTAACCAGAAAATGAGAAATTAAGTTTTATGGAATAAATGAAACAAAGAAAAAGACATAAGAAAACTCAGGGAAGTGGTGGTGGTAGTTAAAGAAAAATGTTATTTCTCTTTAAATCAGAAATATGTAATTTCCTTCAAAATACTGAATTTAGATAAAAAGTTAGGAGTTGTCAAATTTGGGTTTGGCATATTTGATCTTCTTAAATAATTTTCTCAATTTTAAGAAGTTCTAGAAAATTTTAATGATGCATTATACAGTATATCAACTTGCCTTTTCTGATATCCTGTGTATTTATTACAATTTCAAGTGTTATTAATTTCACTTATTAACTCAGTAATAGTTACTGAAGAAACTAACAGACTATTTCTAATGTTGATGAATAAAATAAGAGATATGAAATTATACAATGAATACTCTATTTGGCAAACAATGTATTTTTTTCTGAAAAAATAGTCTGAAATGAAATTTGCAGAGTGGGGAGAGCTAACTTCAGAACATTTGCATGTTACCCATATCAATTATTTTATCACACATTGTCCCAATATGAACCAAATTGTATGAATGCATATTTTATTTATATAGGACACTGCTTTACCTAATTATTTTCATTTTTCTTTGATACTGTAGGCACAGTACATCTTGATCCATCAGGCCTTAGTGGAATATAATCAGTTTGGAGAAACAGAAGTAAATTTGTCTGAATTACATCTGTGTCTGCATAACATGAAGAAAAGAGATCCTCCCAGTGAGCCATCTCCACTGGAAGCTGAATTCCAGGTAATTTAAGTAGAGATAACAGTAATAATTACAGGCAAATTTTGTGGCTTTATATTTTCCAATTGTTTGCTATGCACTTCATCTGCATCTGATCCTCACCATAAGCAATGGAGCACAGATGAGGAAACTGACACAGAGAATTTAAAAGAAATGCCTCTGTCTACACAACTATTATGTAGAAGACTAGTTTAAACCCAGAAGTCGGATTCAATCTCTAATGCTTCCCACACTCACTCCTTAAACTGGTATAACATAAAGTGTCAAAATAATAGTATATAGCAACAAAATTGGCCTGCCCTAGTCGATACAGCATCTCACCTTTAAAAACTGCATCTGGTTTTGGTTTGTGAGAGGAAATAATTAGAGGGGTTTGTGACTGCTTAGGAAGTTGAACTGGCTGGAGCTGGTAGACAGAAAGGAAAGGATAAGTATGTGTGTCCTAACCTATTTATTAGGCAATTATTCTGACAGCTAACCGAGAATATGGTTCCCTGTGATTTCAGAGAGTTGACACAGCTATCTTCGAATTGCTTAGTTGTCAAAAAAATGTTTTTTAACTTTTCTCTTCCACCAATGATTTTCAGTTTACAGAGTTTTTCTATAAAATACCAACCTAGTCAATTCAAAGAGTTTCACAAGGCCAGGAATGTGCTTTTAATCAGATGCAGAATCATTTAATGTTGAGGATCAAAGTGGGGCTAAGGTGGGGGGAGGAGGTGGAGCTTATAATAACCACCAAGCAACTTGGTCCTGCAGAAGATCCACATTTTTGTGGAAGAATTGACAGGCATGGAGTATTCTTAAAGAGAGAAGTATTTCATTGTTGTTTTGTTGTTCTTTTAGCTGAAAATTTTACCATAATCAATGCACTAACCCCACTAACCCCCATATGCACATGGTATTAGGAATTTCAGGTTGCTAGGCTGAAAGGAGTAGAATTAATGTTATAGAAGAAGAGGGATAATTTTCAAGAACATGGATGCTTGAAATCATGATTTTAGAGATGCTGTAATGTTTGGAATAAAACCTACAAAGGTATAATGGTAAAAGAGAATGGTTGAGGAATGAAGGGGAAAGTCATGGGAGGTGAAAAAACAGATGAAATCAATGAGAGTGTTAGCTAGATTGTCCTTGTGAATGTCGAAGTAATTAAGGACGAGGACGGACCCCAGAGAAAGAGTGCACCATTAGCCAAGTCTAAAACTATGAGGAGGAGTGATCCAGAAATCAGAGCCCCATACCCTCACATGAAGGGCAGTAGATTAAAGGTGGTGTAGTATAACGGAAGGAAAATCAAAAGTCATTGGGTTTCTTTGAAGCAAAATATGGAGAAGTGGTTTGCAAGTAGCAGCAGTATCAAAGAGATCACACGACTGAAATGGAATGGGAGGGGAAGAGGATTCAGATGGATGGGGATTTGCTGATGACAGACCATGGACATGAAAAACTCAGAGGAGAGCATTGGTTGATATAAGAGACTGGGTTTTATTTGAGAATACAGGTAACCATCAAGGAATAAAAATGTGGGGAATGTGGATGGATGCACAGAGAGGCTTAGACTATTGGTGGCAACTGAAATAAACCAGGATTGAAGATGGAAAAATCCTTTGGGTCTTATAGGAAGGTGAGCCATTAGTTCCACTTATAATCCTGAGCATTGGCTACTAGAAGGAAGTGGCTATTGGGTGACCTTTTACAGAGCAAATGGTCTTGTGGTGCTTTCCAAGGCAGCTGGTTTTACATGCACCTCATGGTGGTATTCATGTCGTTGGTATATAGTGGGATTTAGTGATGATGTTCTCTTTCATTCAATTACACAGTACTAAGTGGGGTTCAAAACTGGATGCCATAGTTAGTTTAAAAAGGGCTTCATCTATACTATATAATAATATATGCAAATAATATTATATGTAAATAATATTATATATAGTATATATAACATATTTTATGTAATGTATATAATTTTATATGTAATCATATACATTTAATATATAATAAATAATATACAATTATATACAAATTTAAATATAATAAATTATGTATATATTATATGATTTATATGATTTTATATATAATTAGATATAAAATAAGTATTATTTTATATAGTATTATTTATACATAATACTACATATATTCACATACATTTATATGCATTGTCTGTATAAAAATCTTAATGAATGGTACATGAGGAACTTTCTCAGTTTAGGTTATTCAAATATTAAATATTATTATTCTGAAATATTATATACTCAATCAATATTTACTTAGGGACTAGTGGGAAGAGAAAAGGAGTGACAAAGAGGAAAAAGAAAACAAAATGTATGTTTGTCTGTGTCTTAGCCTCATATCATTATAGTGAAATACCTCAAACAGGACACTTAGGAAGAAAAGCTTTGTTTAGCTTACAGTTTTGGAGGTTCAAATCCCAAACTCGGTGTTCTTATGGCATTGAGGCTCATACAAGAGTGGCACATCATGCAGGATCATGCGTTGGTTGGAGCAAAATGCACACATCACAAGCCAAGAAGTAGTGATTTTGAGAAATATGGTCTCACAATCCTTTGGTTTCCTTTTGAGGGCAAGCCTCCAATGACTGAAGGACCTCTCACTAGACCCAACCTCCTAAATGTCCATAAGCATTCTCAATAACACCACTCTGGAAACCAGGCCTTTACACATGAACCCTTGGGATACATTCAAACCACTGTGTCCTGCCAATAGTGAAAGAATAACATGGCTGTCTTAGAATCTGAGAGCTGCCAGGAATGGAGGAATTTGGTTTGGTTGAAGTAGGGAGGGACCTAGTGGGGGACAAGGCTGGAGAGATAGTCAAGGGCATATCCCTAAAGGCTTTTTTTATGCTCTACTGAGGAGGTTTACTGCTTCCTGATATTGGAAGGAAGTTGCTATGGAGCCTAAGAGGGACATCTTCTGTTTTGTGTTTTAGAAGGTTTAGAGCAAGCAAGATTGGACATGAAGAGGACAATCATGAAATTGTTGATAATTTCCAAGTGAAAAAAAAAAAGATGGACTGGACTAAGTTGGAAGAGAGAAAAGTAACAGTAGAAATTTTACCAGTAGAAATTATAGATTTAGCGAACTTGATTAGCTACTGTGGGTGAGAGGGACAGCACCCTGGCAGGTGTGAAAAATTGAGGTCTCAGTGTTTGAAACATCAAGTCTTCTGTGAAAGTTGTGTCTGCTAAGTTTAGTTCTCATAATTTAAAATATTTGCCATTGATTTTGCAATGTGGGTAATAATGAACATTGGTATAGTGTTTTCAATTTATATCATAATGAAGTACACTACTTTGTTGTCAAGCAGTTCTTAAGTGAGAAGGTTACTCTATTAGAGAAGTGTATATTTTTAGTTCCAACTCACCATGTCGAATGTTCTGGATGCATAAACAATAAAAATGGAAAATTCACAGGGAAACTTAAAAGCTTTGGCCTCTAGGGAGTGTATGCAAATTTCACAAAAATTGATCAGGTGCCTTTCTATAAGAAGCATTCTATATCCCAATAATAATTTAATCTAATAATTAGGTTTTAAAGGAGTTTTCTATTCTATTTTTTTTCAGAGACTTCCTTCATACAGGAGCTGGAGGACACAGCACATTGGAAACCAAGAGGAAAATAAAAAGAAAAACCGGAATTCGAATGTCATTCCGTGTATGTAGTTTACTATTATTACTTTTTGTATTAGATAAAGTGAAACTCTTTTTGGATTTGTTGAATGTGAGACACACATGCAAGTTATCTCTGAGCAAATTTTCAACATTTGGTTTACAATGAAGAAGTTAATAGGCTATCTGAATTTTAGTTACAGCAAATTATTTGAACCCTACATGTTTTGAATGGTCTTTGGAGAATAGACTGCATTCAGCGTTATCTTTCTGCCAGTTATTTCAGAAAGAGGTTGTAAGATGAAACCTCTGAAGCAAGGAGAAAAAGGTCAAGTACTCTGTACTTGTTTTAATATTATTTCAGGGTATTTGTCAAATAGCAATCATTGTATCCATTTGTTCTCTTTCTGCTTTTTTCTCTTTATCTCTTATATCTGGGAGGTTGAAATTAGATAGAAAATACTCTATAAAGTGCCAATCATCAAATTTGATAAATAAAAATAGGCAGTTTTCAGGACTGGAATTCTACCATTTAAGCACATCCATAGGATCACATCTGGTACTACTGTAATTTTATTCAACAGCATACACGAAAATTAGCATAAACAAAATATAAGCCAAGGTAATAAACTAGACAACCAGATAAATCAAATCAGTGCATGGCTGACCTAATTTCTGCAGAAGTCTTTATGAATATAGTTAAAATACAGAGTTGATAGTAATGTAAACAGATCATTTGACCAGATTATTACAAATTTAAATTATTGGGAGGCAAGGAAAAATTTATACTAAATAATAATTAATATGAAATACCCATTTAAATAAGACTGTTAATTTAATGTTAATAGAATATTATTGAGAAAAAACTCTAGGCTTTGTATATTTTTAATTTATAGCAAGCAGAATTATGGCATTCATGGAAAACTGAAGAACATGTATCAAAGATTGAATGATCATTTAGAGCATTATGATATCTATTTGTTATGTTTCTTCCTATAACCTTTTTAGGTCTTCCTTTTTTTTAAGGCTTTTAAAAATAATTTGTTAATCCATTAGTACTGAATTTTATGTAGGGTATCATTGCATTTATATTAACATACTTAATTCTGAATTTTTTTTAACTTAGACATGTTAACCAAACATAGAATTATTTTTTTATTTGTTTCTCTTTTGGTGGGGATGGGGATTGAATCCAGGAATTAGCAAACACTAAGCCTGTGCTCAATCAGTGAGCTACATCCCCAGCCCTGATTGTTTCTAAAGGAAGACTTACTGCTAATTTATTTTACATAGATGATTTTAACAGAGTGCCACTGAAACATGAACTGGAAATGAGCAAAGAGAGTGAGCATGATTCAGAGGAATCCTCTGATGAAGAAAGTGACTCAGAAGAAACGAGCAGATATATCAATGCATCTTTCATTATGGTAAGTGCTTATATTTCCCAAACCCAGTATCTGACACTTTTAAAAATTATGTCCACATGATTAGAAGCCATTTATTACACAGATTCATAAACGAGTGATGAGCTTGGTCATAACTATGTATCTATTGATAAAAGTTTCAACTTTTAATGCTGTATTTTAACTTAGCAAACAATTTAAAAATGTTAAAAACTAATGAATAGATTCAGAATAAGGCAATGCTATTGCTTATATTCCATGCAAAATAAGACTATTGCCGTATTAATTTTAAAAATAAAGTTTGAAGAGCTAGGGTTGTGACTCAGTGGTAGAGCGCTTGCCGACCATGTGTGAAGAACTGGGTTTGATTCTCAGCACCACACATACATAAATAAAATAAAGGTCATTGATAATGAAAAATATTAAAGAAATAAATAAAATAAAATTTGAGCAAATAATATTATTTGAAAATATTTCTTCTTACAAATAACATTATTTCAAATTTTTATATTTGCATAGTTCAAAACTTAGATTAACTGGATTGTCAGGTGAGTCTGTGTTACATACATTTTATTAAAAAATAAACTGAGAATTCAAACAAAGAAATTTCAGTCATTCAGTAAATACTTATTACATATATGCTAAGTTAGATTTCTTTCCACAGATTTCCTAAAACACACATTCAATATTCAATGAACATTATTTAAATTATGCTACATCATAAAAATGTATAGACTCCAACTAAAGTAGTGTCATGATAAAGATAGTTTAAGTGCTATGGAATTCTTTTTACCTTAGTAATAACAAATGTAGTGAATAAAAGGTTTGGGGGGTATTTTTGAAAGGAAAATCTTTGTTTTTCAAGATAATATGTCTTAATCTTGATATAACATTATTTGCTAATTTATTATTTGAGTACATATTTTATATATAATTATATCTACTGTATATAATTATATATAATAAGGTTATTAAATTTCTTTTTGAACCTAAGGATTAATATTTTAATGTACCAGCATTGATATCAAGCTGACTATTTTTCTCTCTTCAGAGAGCAGTAGTAACAAACAAAGTCCCCACCTTTGTTTTTTTTTTTTTTTTTTGAAGGGTTACTGGAAACCAGAAATGATGATTGCTACTCAAGGACCATTGAAAGAGACCATTGGTGACTTCTGGCAGATGATATTCCAAAGGAAAGTCAAGGTTATTGTCATGTTGACGGAACTGAATCATGGAAACCAGGTTTGTCCTTTTGGGAATATATATATTTGTTTCAAGTTGTTCTATTATAAAATGTCACTCTCCATTCTTGGGTTACTTGCTTGATCTTTGTGCTCCTGTCTTCTTGGTCCCTCTGTCACACAGGTCCATTTGTTTAGTTTTAAGACAACTTCCACCCCCATGTTGGCTCCCATCATTTTGGGTTTGGATTCTGACAATTTCGTGATTGCCTGTCCAGTCTTGCTACTCACAGATGTCCAGAACACTGCAATTTTAGCATCACAACAAACAATGCTACGTTTTATATTTTTTTAAAGATAAAAATTATTCATTTCTATGTGGTGCTGAGAATTGAACCCAGTGCCTCACACATGCTAGGCAAGCACTCTTCCACTGAGCTCCTTTCACTCCCATAACTCCTGAACCCAAGAGAGTGTAGGTAAGAAGCTGTTAGCCCACCATACTCACGAACATCTCCCACAAAAGTGTTGAAAAGGGGCTATAAAGAGAACTAGAAGTGTTGTATTTTGTTGTATAAAATTAGGTACTGTCTCACACACCTTCTAAAAAATTAAAAAGATGTTACATCTTTCTAATGATTTATTCTGAGCATGGAGAATACTTTATGTGTTTGATATTTGAAAATCATGTAGCTCTTTGTGTGTTCCTTCCAAATCATAGCTATAAAACATGTGTACGAATTTTCTAAACATGAATAGATTTCAGGGTATGCTTACCTGTTTACTATTTGTTTTTTTCTTCAGGTATAGATACTTTGTGGTACTACTGAAAACACCTTTAATAATATTATTTTGACCAAAATTTGTAATACATAATTCACTTTGAGGTGATGAATAAAATTTTTCTAATATCTTGGGGAAAAAAGATAAAAATTAAACTCCTTATCTGATGTTTAAGAACTTCATAAATCAGACTCTATATATCTTTTCATTTCCCTCCTGTTTTTTTATGTTTTACTTACTCTTTACTTTAGAAAAGTAGGTTTATGGATTGAGTCTTTATGAACCAATTATATTATCATTCCTGTGTCATAGTATTAGTATTTACTAACACTCCTTATACATAAATGTGCCTTCCCTTCCCTCTTGACTCTATTTTTCTAGAAAATCAAAACTCCTGAAAAATTTATCTATATCCTTCCCTCTTCATTCCCATGCAGTATTTATTGCCATAAAATTCTAATTGAAGGTGAACCTAAGATATTTAACACCTAACAAATTACCTAACATATGTTAATGCTTATTTAATAAAAGCCCTCGTAGACATACACTAAGAATCATGACTTTCTTTCCTTTCCCCTTATGCTCTACTCATATACAGAAAGTTCTTTTTTTAATTTATTTCTTCTGGTTTATGAAATAAATATATGTTCAGATTTCCAGCGTGGAATTCCAGTAATTTTTTTCACTTATCTAAATTGTGCAAGTCAAGAAATAGAATGAGAATACAAGCACGAATGGCCATCATTGTCAGCAATGGCAGATTTGTAGCACTGGAAAGCAATCTGCAAAGGAGGAAATATTTTGTGATTCACCTGCACTACAGTATGACCCTTTATTTTGATATTCTGCCAATTTAGTAACTCATGGTGCTGGTCATCAGGATGCAGAGACAAATCCCTAAATGATGCAGGCTCCTTCCTCGGGGACTGGTGGATAGACAGCAGGGCATGAATTATTGGAGGTGTCAATCTCCAGATTTTGAAGAAGTGCTAATCAGAATATGGAAGGCAGGAACAAATCTCGAAGACCAACATCAGCAAAGATAGAGCTCTTCCTGGCTACATTGATTATTCCCGGATTTCCTTTACTTGCACAATATTTGTTGAATGGATCTTCACCATATCTTCAAATGGATTTTAGATTTTTGTGGGCAGGTTTCAATTTTAGAATGCAGTGATTTCCATTTATTAGAAAATAATGAAGGAAAGATGAGAGAAAGAGAGAAAAAAGAGAGAAAGATTGATTCTCTGAATACTTCACGTAGTAAATTCAACATTTGTGTAGATGTCATTGAATCATACTCTTACTTATCTAGGAAATCTGTGCTCAGTACTGGGGAGAAGAAAAGAAAACATTTGGAGATTTAGAAGTTGATCTGAAGGACACAACCAAACATTCAACTTATACTCTCCGTGTATTTGAATTGAGACATTCCAAGGTAAATAAACAATTTAGATGGTATATACCTTTGATATAATTAACTCTGGTAGGAATGCTAATATAAATTATTTTATTTGAGAAACGCTACCATCTGTGTAATGGTTCAGAATAAAAATATTAAATTATTTACATGAAAGCAATTGTAAAGAAAATGTGACTGTAAACTATATGGATGGAGCATCACTTCAGCTAATGTCCCCTTCCCTTCTGATATTAGAGGAAAGAGCCTAGAACCGTGTACCAGTACCAGTACACCAACTGGAGTATGGAACAACTTCCTGCAGATCCCAAAGACTTAATTTCCATGATTCAGATTCTCAAACAAAAACTATCCAAGAAGAATTCCACTGAAGGGAATAAGTACACCAAGAGTGTGCCTATCCTAATTCACTGCAGGTGGGTGGAATTTGATAGGATGTGCTCTAAAAATCCAAATACTTGACTTCTTTGTTGGCACTTTTTTCTATTTGTCCTGATATATAAAACATATGACTCCAGAGAAAATCTCTGCTGGAGACAGTCACTCTCTGTGTTATATTTCTTCAGAGTAATGGTTATATAAATATGATAGAAATGGTTATATTTGAGTTTAATAAATCCAGGCAATAAATTTAGATCAATAAATACCAAATATCATGTCATCTTGGATTCCTCAGTACCTGAACCTAGAATGTCATAATGGCTGAATGAGCAAATGAATGGAGAGAAGGGTGAATGAACAGACAGATGGATGGATTGCAGTGGATATATGCTCATCTGCATTGATTCCCTCTACTTGATGTTTCAGAAGCAAGAGGACTGAAAGCTTCATCTTCCATAAACAGATTTAAATATTAAATGATACCTCAGTGCTTAGCAATTTTGATTTTAAATCCATTATTTGATTTTCTTAACTGACCTCAGAGGCAAATATTTTAGTAATACCAAATCTAATACTTGATTTTATTAGTTTCTGTTATGCTGGCTTTCCAATTTCACCTGTGGTGAATGTTTTTCTGTGCAGAATTTTACCTGTGATAAATAGCCACCTTAACTAGAAGATATTAAGATAAAGATTCATAATATAGAAGGTTTACGTGAAAGTGAATATGAAAATAAATGAGAACTGAAAAAAATCATAAAGCAAAGTGAGAAATATAAACCTACGGAAATACTTTTAGAATTTTTGAAAAAGCCTCGGTGTTATTGGAATTGCAGATACTAGAATCAAGCCCTTGGAGATGTTGTACTTTTCATAACTTATTAGAATTTTCAAAAGTGAGACTTACATGGAAAGAAAGGAACTGAAAGGAAGTTTCACCTTCTATGTATTAAGAAATATGCTTAGGATATGCTTAAATATCTACTAACTGTTCTTTAGTTATGTATGGTACACAGCATCCTGATGATAATGCATGCTATAATTAAATCTATTATATAATGCTTTACACCTCTCATAGAAAATTGATCATTTGTTTTCCTTTGTTTTAATGAATAATTCTTATCAGTTCTCACTCCTCTTCTGGTATGGAAGTGGAAATGTTTGTAAAAAGTGTAGAGAGCAGAAGAGTCAAAGAAAAGCAGATGGTCTTCTACTTCTGGTTTTATCAATTTCTAACTATGCCTTTAGTGTCTTTAACTCTTGAGTTCCTCATCTATCAAGCTGACATTACTATATTGGTCCTAATAACTTCAGATGTAAATAAAATGCATTTAAAACCAATGAAGTACTAAATAGAATAAAATATATTTTAAAAGCCCAATCCAATTGTTTCTAAAAATACAGGAATATTAAAATCCTAAATTGAAAATGATCAATCACTCCCCTCTAAAAAAATTTTTAACAGAAATAACTGACGCTTATGAAATTGGAATAATACAATCTAGTAAAAAAATATATTTTATCTCTCCCTACTTCATACGAATATCACTTTTTCCATAAAATACACTAGTTTTCTATTTTAATTTTTTCTTCTTATAGAGATGGATCTCAGCAAACAGGAATATTTTGTGCTTTGCTAAATCTCTTGGAAAGTGCAGAAACCGAAGAGGTAGTGGATGTTTTCCAAGTAGTGAAATCTCTACGAAAATCTAGGCCAGGAATGGTTTCCACATTTGTAAGTATACCTCACCATTGTTTTTTTTTTAACACTTTGTTCTTTTTTATTTTGAATTTCTTTTCTTCTCTCCTGTCCTTACCTACTATTACCTATTCTTCTTTTCTTTCTTCTATTTTTATGTTACAATTCACATGGAATTTTTATCAAAACAAATAAGAGACGTAATTAGCATTTTCGAGCAATTTGTTGTGACAGACCATTAAAAAAATCCTTAAATGATTATGGATTGCTTAATTTCTCCTCCTTTAATTCTTTATCCATTAGTGTTGTGTGAGAAACCACCCCAAAATTTAGTGGTTTAAACAGCATTGATCGTAGTTCAATAAGCCTATCTGGATTGCTCTACTGATCTCCTTGGGCTCAGATGAACAGGCTCTCTCATATGTCTGCCACCAGCTGACGAGTCTTCTGGGGTCTAGTCGCTCTCAAATGATCTCTGTCACTATTAGGCTGAAAGTTGGCTGCCATTTAGCTGTGACTGGATGACCTTCTGAGGTGCAGGCTTGAATCAAACACACCCAGTCTTCCTCTGCCTTGTTACCAGCTGAAAAAGTCACAATGCCACCTGGACTTAAGGGGTGGGGAACACAGACTCCTCCCAGTCTTTTCCTAAGTGCCTGAAGTTGCATTATGAAGAGCTGTACATACAGGAGAATAATAAATGCTACATTTTTTTAAAAAAATCAAGCATGTATCTTCTTTATGTTGTAGTAACTGTAGTTGATTAATTGGGAATTAGTAATTCTTTACAATATAAATTTAATTATTGCTCTCTAAAATCTATGAAGCATTTTACTATGTACAATGTTGAGTTTACTATATTGATTTCATAAATGTGTTGAGTGCCTGCTACTGTACTCTTACTATTGAGAGACTCATTGTTTGATGTTGGGAAATGGCAGATGTTTAGTCAACAATGTAGTAATTTAAACCATAGAGAAATTATAGTGACACAAATAGGGGCATTAGGCTATGGGGATCAGGGTAGACTTTTTGAAGCAGGTGATTTCTGCTCTGATTCTTAAGGGGTCTGTATGCATTAACCAAGAAGATAAGCCCCAAAATGGCATCAAGGGCAAAGGCATGGGACTGAGACATCACATGTTAGAAAGGAAATGAACTCCTATTTGGTGGTGCTTTAGGGTCCATTTTGAAAGCAGCTCATCCTTTAGGACCACAAGGAAATAAGTCATTCAAAATTTTCCTTATGCAGACATGTCAGAGAACTTTCATCCAGACTTCCAGAAGGAAAGGATTAGTTGTTGCTAATTTTCATCTGACATATACAGAAGGACATCGGTTTTCCTCATGTAATTTCTTGCTGCTTTCCTTCATTAGGAGCAATACCAGTTCCTATATGACATCATTGCCAACACCTACCCTGCCCAGAATGGACAAGTAAAGAAAAACAGCAATCAAGAAGATAAAGTTGAATTTGATAATGAAGTGGACAAAGCAAAGCAGGATGCTAATTGCGTTCATCAAGCTGGTGCCCCAGACAAGACCCACCAAGGAAGCAAAGAGGTGGAAGGTGCTGAACCCACAAGTGGCACCGAGGGGCCAGAACATTCTGCCAATGGTCCTGCGAGTCCAGCTTTAACTCAAAGCTCATAGGAAAAGACGTACATGGGGCAACTCAAAGCCTGTGCTAGCTGTTTTCTGTTTTTCTAGAAGTGGGAGGGAAAAATAGGAAGACATTGGACTGATGATCAAAGTGCACTGGACCAATGTTTGGGGGAAGATGCTATTTTACCACTGTGGAAAAAATATTTAAGCCAGTTTTGCTAAGATGTTTTGTACAGTGTTATGCTTATTTTAAAATATTACCTGTCGTTCAGCAAAAACAACTTCTTAGTAGTCTTCATGTGTGTGTGTTTGAATACCTGATGGTGGACAGGTAGAGCTTTCAAATGAATTTAAATGCTCTTGAGAAACTTTGCATAAAACTTTTTTTTTTCTGAAGAAGAAAAAAAACCCACACTTTTTATTGGAACTGTTAACTTAGCTTGAAAGATCTATTTTTAAGACATAAATTGCATGTGTACTCTGTATAAGATTAGCAACATGTACATTTCTAGAATGACCTCAAGATGTCCTCCTTGTTCTACTCTGATATATCTTATAGTTCACTATTTTACTTAGAGTACATAAAAGTAGCATGTGTGTGTATAGGTACTACAAGAAAGTTAACCAAATTAAAATTTGGAAATCTTATACTCCATCTGTTATCATTTAGTCTAATACCTTTTTAGGTATATTTAATTTAAAATTTTCAACTGAGCCTATATTGCTTTTTTCACATGGGTTTTACACTCTGTACAATATATGGAATTTATTGCTTTCGACTTTGACCAAATTTATGTTTGCTATAATTGAATTTAAATAAACATCTTTAAAATAAATAAATGTAGTATATATTAAAAACCCATAGGGATATGAACAGAGCAAGAAAATGTATTTGTGTCCTATTTACATCTGACACTTAACGTAGCTATTTAATGAAATTTAAGATTGATGTGAGAAATACAATATTGCATGTCTATACTTCCCATGTTAAGGTTCATCTTTGACTTTCATTAGTGATTACTTTGAATATCTCAAATTCTTAGACTGCTACCACTAGGAATTCATATGGATAGCCACAATAAAGTTCAATCATTAACTTCCTTGTTTATAATATATTAAATGTTACATGTTCCTATATGGAATATGTACGCACCTATTAAAATGTGGCTTAAGTACTATTAATAACAGTTTACAACAATTTTACAGGTTCCAACTCTCGAAAGAAAGACACATAATCTAATAATAATAATAATATAGAATTTATTTTTTAAAATCCTCAAGAATAATGGTACTTTCCAAGATGTCTTTTAATGAATTCTGCATTTCAACATGGGTCACACTATCTTTAGATTTATTTGGTTTTCTATATTTTCCTTTTTGTAGCTCATATCAAATGTCTTAACTATACAGCATCAATTGCTTTTTATACAAGCCACATTTATTTTGTTTCTATTTCAAATTCTTTTTTATTATAACATAAAATTAGCATTAAATCCTTGTGCTATTGTATATTTCATTGCCTTTATTTAACAGATAAAAAAGGGAAATTTAAAACGAAGCAAAAGTTTCCAGTTTATGTTAAGGTCAGTTGCCACCTTTTTTACCTATTAGTGAGAAAAAGGCAGGTGAAAATCATCAATTATGGGCATCAGAAAGAAATACATCTTACTTTTGCTTTTCTTGATACTTTTTCAGACTTCTGCACTTTAGTTTCACTTCATGAAAGTTGACCAGAGATCATTTACTAGATAATGTTATTATAATTTGTAATTCTAATGCCCAGTAGATTCGCATGGTAGATATTTATCTTTATGTAAGTGGCTTCAAAATAAACAGCAAAACCTAAATTTTAAATAATCTATAAATAGCTTCTCTTTAGAGGTTTCAACTGCACATAACATCTTCCAAAAGTGAATGTTGTGGGTTTAAAATATATATTTCCTACTTGAGACTATCCTTTCAGATAGAAAATAACTACTTAGAAAATATAGCCATGATAATTTCTATTAGTTTAAGAAACAAGCTGTGAAATTTTTCTTTTTCTTTTGCAAATATGAATGTGCAGTAAAGGGAAGGGTAAATTGTGGTTCAGAGACCAGTTACTCTATGAGAACATGGATCAACCAGAAGGTGTACTTGAATGTAGGATATGTCCATAATTTCCATCTTAAAAAGAAAATGGTATGTAGTGGCTTTGGCTATGGGTTGCATTCATAGGAAATCTGTCACAAAACACAAAAGATTGCTTTGCTAATGTTTGGTACTGACATTATTAATTCCAGGAATTAGTCAGAAAAATGAAGCAAAAGGTGTCAACTTAAAAAAGTCTCTTCCATTTTAAGGATAAAATTCTGAATCCTGGAGTCTCTTTATTGGACAGAAAGAGACTATGTTTCTTTTAAAGTTTATTTTGTTTCTGGGGCCAGAATTCATGGGGGAATAAAAGATATATTTAGTAATCTTAAAATTCAGTTCTTCAGGCAATAATTTTTTACATAAGTATCAGATATTTTCAGAATGTATATGCATTAATATGTTCTTTTTTTGTTCTGAATTTTTCTTTATTTTTTAATACACGACAGCAGTGGAATGCATTACAATCCTTATTACACATATAGAGTACCATTTTTTGTATCTCTGTATATAAAGTATGTTCACGCCAATTTATGCCTTTATACATGTACTTTGTTTTGGTTTTTTTGCATTACAATTCTTAATACACATATATACCACAATTTTTCACATCTGTATATAAATAACTTTTTTGGGGGGTGCTAGGGATTGAACCTAGGGCCTCTACCAACTGAGCTATATCCCCAGCCCCAATATGTTCTTATAAATGTCAGTAGCTGAATGTCTCTGCAAGATGGCTCTAAAACGTGTAAACTTCTGGTCAGAATTCTAATATTTGGTCAGAAAAATCTGACTACTTAATGTAGCTATTTTATGAAATTTAACATTGTACCTATTTTCCTTTTTTTTCTCCTTAAAATGTTGAATGTAAAGTTTATTATTTCTTACAAGTAACTAGGGCTGATCTTAATTTTTAATTTATAGTGGAGATTTGTTATAAAACTTTTCAGAGCATCATAATAGGGCTAAACAAGTGGGTGGTAATTGCCTCTAACTCATTGCAAAATGTATTGATATGAAGGCCTTCACACACACAACTTCAAAGTAAATAAAAATCTGTAATAATTAGTAGAAAATGAAAGATTGTCCTTTCATTCTCCTGTGTATATTTTACATGGGATAATCTGAAGTTTCTTCAAAGAGACATAGTCAAAATTGGATTATTTAACTTCCTGTTTTAAATGAAGAGATTTATTCTACTATTGGTCTTTTTTATTTTGTGTTCAATCCTTTGTAATCATGAAATTTAGGTGTCAGATAAGATACAAGGTAGTCATTTGAATTTCAAAAAGTTTTTAATATGAGTATATCCCATGCTGTATTGAATATATACTAAAAAAATGTTCTTTGCCTATCAGAAATGAAAATATTACTAGGCAATATAAATATACATATTAAATTTTAAAAATAAAAATTACGTATTCATTATGTATATATTTTCAAAATCTTGCACTTCTAACTTGGAAAATTTCACAATTTCCATTTTACTTAAAAGAACATTTGTGGAATTAGCCTTGATTTTTAACTTTAATCAAAATATTTTCATCCATCATCTGAAAATATAATTCTTCCTCATAAAAGGAATTTCCTGAGATTTAAAAGGTCAAAATAATTTAGATTTGTGTGTAAACAATTTTTAAAAATCAACATTAAAATTAATACTGATCCAATTGAAGGTAAGTATGTTGTTATACCATAACTTATAAATTTAAAAATTATTATTGTAATAATTAACATTTACTGAGGCAAAATACATGCTAAATATTAGTTACTTGTTTTACCTGCATTGTTTCTCAATACAATTTTTACGCCATACATAATCTTGTTATCTTTGGTTTATAGACGAAGGACTGAGGCTTGTTAGATAAGTCAGTGCCTGGTATAATACATCTATTAAATGATAGAGCTAGAATTTGAATCAGCTTTGCTGGCACATAAGCTGTGCTCATAACCTTCTGCTCTTCTTTTGAGTATCACCTTTGTTCATATGCTTTGAAAAATTAGTGGAGAAAGCAATCTGAATTTATTTTCTGTTTTTTCCTTATTTCATGATTAAAACAAATTAAAAAATCCCCCACAAACTATTTGTAATATCTGCTCTCAACAATGCTGCACAACATAATAAGCCTAACTGAGCCCTCTTCCAAAATCAATGTTATTACACAAAAAAATAAACATCCATGGGAAAATATGGTTCTCATAATGCGTATAAATAAAGATCATCTCATTGCTAATGTGAGTGCCAGGAAATAAGGCATTTCAATAAATCACAAACGTCATTGTTCTAATGTCCCATAATTTGGAAATAAAAACAAATTCTTACTGTTTAGATCACATTTCAGTATGGTCAGAGAATGCATCAATCAGCATTTAAAACAAGTTAACAATCCACCATAAAATGCAAACCACATTATGAAGGGTATGATTCATTCACACTACCAGGAGTGACACAAGGAGTCTTTCTGACCTTGTTTGTCCCCAAACTTGGAAAGCCAGGGAACTATAAATGGACTTTCAGTATACATGTGTTTCCTTCAAGACTCATATGCATCATATGACTGCAGTAAAAGGGGGAATCTCTGGTGAACTTAACATTTTATTTTTCAGAAAACGGAAAGTTGTTGAATTCAATAATGTCTCTCCTGTATAGGAGGCAAATCAGAACCAAAGAATCTGGTATCCTGTCCAAGATAAAAATATCATCTTAAATTGTCATAGGTTGTATAACCTTAAATGATTTTCACAAACACGATATGACTTGGGAAGATATGGCACTAGAAAGGGAAAAAATCTGTTCAATATTAACACATGGGATGAAAGGTGAGACAGAATCAGGGCACCCATAGAACCTGTCCCACACCGGTTAACACAGGCTTAATGCCAAGGTTTGCTCACTGTGTGTCTAGGTTATTTTACTACCTGCTAAAATTTTTAATAGATAACTGATAACTCATATGTCTCATTAAACCAGACTATAACGTCCCTCATTAATTACATTTCCGGAATATGTTATATAAGTTAGGAAGCAGGGGAGAAAGGGATTGATACATGTTACAAATATATTTTATATATTTATAAAAAAATTTTAAAACCAACATATAGCTATTATTTTATTTATTTAGGTACTAGGGATTGAACCAAGGAGCTCTTGAACCCACTGAGCCACATCCCCAGTCTGTTTAATTTTTTATTTTGCAACAAGTTCTTGCTATGTTGCTCAAGGCCTCTTTGCTAAGTTGCTGAAGCTGGCTTTGAACTTGCCAACCTCTGCCTCAGTCTCTTGGGCCTCTGGGATTACAGATGTGCACCTCCATACTCAGCAGCAAATCCTTTTAGAATGAACTTTTCCTTTAAATGCAAGTACTTACTTTCATTGCATTGACAGCTTAACCTAAAGAGAGGGATGAAGAAAGACTATGCAGAAGATTTAAAGGTAACATTTCAGATATTTTTGTGATACTATCAGAAATAAAAAACTGAACTCTCTCAAAGACAATCTAGTATCTGTTCTGAGT